TAAGCAAGGTAATAGGTAAGAGAAAGAGAATCCAGGTGATGTGCTCACCTCAGAACTACCCAGGGAAGCCCCCTGAGCAGAGTGGAGTGCCAGAAGAGAGAGAAGAACCACAGCAGGAAGAACTGGGATCTTCATGGTGTCAAGTTTGGGGTGCTCTGAGGCAGGGCCTCACCGCTTGTCCTTTATATTCCCAGGGAGGTGGATGTGAGCAGAAATGGGGTCCCCTCCCCACTGACTCACCCCCAGATCCCATCACCCACCCCTGGGGCTCTGGGAAGGGAGGTGTAGACTGTTCCCCACTTACCTTGAATTTCTCAATGCACATTCTGCCTCAGGCACTAGGAAGGTGAGATGGCAATGGGGTGCTTCATGCCAATGGAGCTGGGATGGAGACAGGTTGAACCTGTCCCTCCAAAGGATAGGCAGTGGCACCCAAGCAACCTCTCCTTTCGCCTTTGTCTCTTTCCCTTATATCCTTCATTCTGCTCTTATAATTCGGGCTTTTCCCCACCCTACCCAATTATGTATAAACTCCTTAGACTGGCAGTGAAGGCCTTCCATGCTCTGGCCTCGACCTGCCTTTCTGACTTCTTTTACTCCTTTGCACATGACCCCACATTCTGGCCAAACTGGACTCCCTACCAAATAAACCCTTCTTGGTCCTCCAAGCATCTTCCCGTGCTCTTGCTTATTTCTAAAATGCCCTTCTGTCATCTCTAGTTCTCAGAACACAACATCCATCTTGGATGAAGCTTCCCTGATTTTTCCCATCATCCCTCACTTCCCCCCCCCCCCAACTCCCCATACCCTTCCCTTCTTGGAATTGCCATAGCAATTTGTTTGTTTCTCTCTGGCATTGTACCTGGGATAACTTATGCTCTTCTCTTATTTCTCTCTTAGAATATTAAGTTCCTTGAAACTAAGAACTATATCTTAATCACCTTTATATGCCCCTACACCATGCCTTAGACAGAGGACAGGCGGAGCAAGCATTTGTTAGATTGGATAAGTTAGGGTTCAAGCATCCTTCCACCAAGTTGTACGCTTTCCTCCTTTGGGGCTGGACCCCTCCTGTTATCCAGTTGCCCATCTTTTACTCTTGGGTCTTCAGAGAGATGACTGTCTTGAACAAAGACAAGGAATAGAGAACACAGATGTGGGCGGGGGAAACAACAAAAATGCAAAATAGCTCTTAAAGATACCCAGTTGGAGATAGGATCTAGGTCCTGAACTCTGAGTGCCTTCTCCATTTCATGGAGTTTATCCCACCGCCCTGCCCCACCCCCCAACTTGGGAGTTGTATCACCTCAAAGTGACAAAATATTCTAATCAAGCCACCTTCTCTACCTTCTCTACTATGAGGTTCAGGTGGCCCAGCCGGTTCCTGGTGTCATAGGGAGGGGCAGGGAAGTAGACTGGCACTGCCAGGACAAAGCAAGACCTTACTTGAGAGCAGGCCTCTTTACCCCAACCTGATGCAACACACACAGATGGCACTCATGAACGATCTTCAGGAACCCCAGAAGTTGGTGCTTCTCTTCAGTTCCCATGCTGCCCCCACAGCCCACTCTCGGCCCCTCTGTAGGCTCAAGAGGCCTCCTCTGTCTTTATAATAGCACCTCCTGCTTTGCGGAGCTACCTGAGGAGACAGGGCTCGAGGAACACTCACTAAGCACAAATGGCCAGGTGGCAGGGGCTGTGGCGAACAGTCAGTGCTGCTGGAGGGGATGAGCAACAACTGCCTGAGGCGGGTGGAGCGCCTCTCAAAAGGTTTTCTGGAGGACACAAGTTTTTAATGTGTAATGGATTCTTCCTAAATAATTAACAGTGACTGAAGGAGCTCATTAACCACCATTCTGTCAGCCATAGGGTCAACTCTGGGAGCAGAGGGAAAGAAGAATGGACAAAGGAGAACTGATACTGTATAATCACCTCCACTTAGGCATGCTAATGGAGGAGCACTTTGGCCTGGGTGATCCAAAGCAACAGATGAGCCAAACACCATCATCTGTTTAGCTCTAGAGTTCTTTTGTAACAAATTGACTTCCCAGTGTTTTCCTCTCCACTGAATGCTAATGCTGCTGATAATGTTAGCCAGTTTATTGATATCTTATTATGTGGCAGGCCTTGTACTAAGTGCTCTAAATGAATGATCTCATTGAAAAAAGCACCGTGATTCTATGAGGTAGGTACTATAATTATTCACATTCTACAGGCTGGGGAACCACAGCATGTAGAGGTTAAGTGACTCACCCAAGGTCACACAGCCCGTATATGGCAAGGCCAGCATGAGAACCCGGGAGTCCAGGGCCTGCACCTGGATTGCGCCTGTGCTGTACTGTGGAGTCGTGTCCTCCAAAGGACCTCACCAGCCCACGTAGTGCCTTGCGTGAGTCAGACCCACGCCCTGAGAGTTGGGGGGCAAGCTGCATTTAGCCCCCGTTGGTCCCCTTTCCCAGGTGTCCCTTCATGGCGTGCAGCCTGCATAGCCCTAGGTGGCAGCTCCAAGCATATATGCATTAATTTCAGTGAGTTAACCTGTACACTTTTGGCAAAATGAACACAGAAAATTAAGAGATTAAGGGCCCTCCACGAGTGTATGCCCCAAAATGAACCTGCCATTGCCTCGGACTCCAGGTGCCTCTTGGAGCACCTTGTTGCACCAAGTGTGAGTTTAAAGACCATCGACTCGTTCTAGTTCTGGCTTTACAGTTCTGGTGTTTAAAGATAGGTACTTCTGTATAATGCCCCTGAACACAATGTGCACAACCGAAGAAATCCGTTCTCGCACTGGAGAAGAGAACTGGCTGCGCTCAACAGCTTTGTTTCCACTTGGTACCTTCCTGATGGATCTTCAAGGGCAGTCTTGGCTTTACATGATTTATGCTATATGTGCTAACTTTAGAACGTAGCATCTCTGTACTGCCTCAGTGGGTTTGTGTTTCCTGCGTGCCCAGTGTCCCATGGTTGGGCAAGGGGGGGGAAGAAGGGGAGGGGATTCTCACCATCCCAGCAGTTTGGGTGATGGGTGGGAGGAGAATCGTTGGATTTCAGCAGCTCTTTGGATGCATCACGTGGGGTTAATGGTGTCAGGCAGAGTCACACAGCCTGGCTCTGCATCAACCCATCTCCAAGTCCAGTTGATGTTCTAGTTCCCTCTCTGAGAATACCAATAAACCCCTGTTTCCCCACAGGCCTGCCCCCACCCCACCCCATATCTGCCAGAACTTGAGTGTGGGTAGGAGGCAAGGCCCAGCCCTGATTGCTACATTACAGACACACCTAGGGGCTGGGAGCCAGCCTCGTGGGTTCAGAGAGGGAATGTGGGATTTGAAGGGCTGCACACTGGGGCCTTGGGACCTTGGTGAACACCTAGGTGAAAAGCCTAAAATCTTTGAAGAGAAAAGGAGCTGGGGTGCGGGGTATTGGGAGGCAGAATTCGGGGCATCCCTATCCCTTCCTTTCCTGTGCCTCTGCCAATGTTACTATCACACCCCAGAAAGCAGCCACGTTGTCCAGCAGGTCTGGTTTCTTCCTTTGCCACCCACTTTTTGTCCCTGTGTATCCTTTGCTTATTAAACTCCCAGGAAGACTTCCTGGATCAATCCCACTGAATTCTGATCCCTCCTCCCATCCTCTCATTCACAAATACTGAGCAGCTATTTTGGCTCTTGGCACTGGGAATTCAAGATAGATAAGATACCTGTCCTGGGGAGCTTATGTTCCAGTGGAGAAGACAGATCATAATCTAATTTTTTTTAATTAAGGAACAAGATAACTTCATAGAATGACAATTCTGGGGAGAAAATAAAACAGGTGCAATGTGATTGTGATCGGGGAGGTATCCTTGGTTCCACTGGCTGGGTGGGGGAACATTTGAATGTAGACCTAAAGTAATTAAAGCTCCAGTCTTCTGAAGACCTTGAGCTGTGGGGACAGATAGCAGTGGTGTTCCTTGAGAGCTTCTCCCAGCAGGTCTGGGTTGACAAGGAAGAGGGAGGCGGGAGCTGGATCATCTCTAAGCCACCATGAGGAGTTGGGATTTCATTCTATGGCTACTGAAAAACTTGTGGAGGATTCTGAGCATGGATCCTTCCTGGCTGTCATGGGAGAATGGATTTTAGGGAAAAATGAAAGTCAGAGGCAGATTCAGAGGTCCAGGAAGGAGAAAGGGACATCCTGCCCTTTTATTAGAGAGTCCTTTACACCAGAGGGCCTTTGCCTGCTTCAGGTGGCACTTTGAACTTTAAAGGGCTGCCTTGAGCCCTTTGGACCAGGAATACCCTGACAGTCTAGAACCATGTTGACCACCTCAACGTCTCCTGCTGTCCCTCAGGGAGTGGCTCCAGGAGACCTGAGTTCCAGCTCTTTCTGATTCATCACCCACACTTCAGGAAGCTAGCTGTCAGTCAGCCAAAGAATTGAGTGTCTCCCTGGGGAGAGCTGGGTTCTCCTCCCTGTGGCTTCCAGGAGGTACTACAAGGCCCTCCCTGCACAGCTGAAATCCAAGACAGACACACCTTGGAGGACAGGCACACCTTGGAGATAATTGCAGGTTGGGTTCCAGACCACCACAATAAAGCAAGTAATGCAATAAAATAAGTCCAATGAATTTTTAAATTTATTTCTAAAATATTATTAAAGATTTACTTATTTGTTTTAGAGAGAGAGAGAGCACGAGTATGGGGAGGATCAGAGGGAGATGGAGAGAGAATCCTCAAGCAGACTCCCCGCTCAACAAGGAGCCCGTCACAGGGCTTGATCCCAGGACCCTGAGATCATGACCTGAGCCAAAACCAAGAGTTGGATGCTCAACTGACTCAGCCACCCAGGCACTCCATTGAGTCAAAAGAATTTTTTGGTTTCCCAATGCACATAAAAATATGTTTATACTGTAGTCTAGTAAGTATGCAATAGCATTATGCCTTAAAAAAAACAACATACATATCTTAATTTTAAAAAACACTTTATTGCTAAAGGATGCTAACTATCAAGTGAGCTTTCAGCAAAGTGTAATCTTTTTGCTGTGGAGGGTCTCGCCTCAATGTCCATGGCTGCTGACTGATCAGGGTCATGGTTGCTGAAGGCTGGGGTGACTGTGGCAGTTTCTTAAGACAAACTGAAGTTTGCTGCATCAATTGACTCTTCCTTTCATGAACAATTTCTCTGTAATATGTGATGCCTTTGGATAGCATTTTACCCACAGTAGAACTTCCTTCAGAACTGGAGTCAGGCTTCTCAAACTCTGCTGCTGCTTTATCAACTAAGTCTGTGTCATAGTCTAAATCTTTTGTTGTCATTACAACGATCTTCACAGCATCTTCACCAGGAGTTGATTCCAACTCAAGAAACCGCTTTCTCTGCTCATTCATAAGCAGCAGCTCCTCATCCCTTCAGTTTGATCATGAGATCACACAATTCAGTCCCATGCTCAGGCTTTACCTCCAATTCGAGTTCTCTTGCTGTTTCCACCACATCTGCAGTGACTTCCTCCACTGATGTCCTGAACCCCTCAAAGTCATCTACAAGGGTTGGAATCAGCTTCTTCCAAACCCCTGTACATGTTCATATTTTGACCTCCTCCCATGAATCACAGATATTCTTAATGGTATCTAGAACAGTGAATCTCTCCCAAAAGGTTTTCAATTTATTTTGCCCAGATCCATCAGAGGAACCACTATGGCAGCTATTGCCTTACAAAATGTTGTGTTTTTTTTTTATGACATCGCTGCTTTTTTTTTTTTTTAAGATTTTTTATTTATTTATTCATGAGAGACAGAGGCAGAGGGAGAAGCAGGCTCCCCGCAGAGCAGGGAGCCCAATGCGGGACTCGATCACCAGGACCCTGGGATCGTGACCTGAGCCGAAGGCAGACGCCCAACGGACTGAGCCACCCAGGCGTCCCTATGCCATCGCTTTTTAATTGAAGGACAAAAGTTGGTCACATTCAGAGATAAGTGGGCCTCATGCAGATAGTTAAAACCATCCTTCTCTTTCTTGGTTAACCATCTCTTAATTTCAAGTAACATCCATGAGTTCTTTAGGACTATCTGAAATTGTCCTCTGAGGAACTCCACCACACCACCTCGTAACACACATGACCACACGCACTGCTGGACAGCATCTCACTGGATATCATCACAATACAGATCTTCAAAATTATTTAAAAAGTCTGCATGAACTGCCTTCTCATTGGCTGCCAAGTCCATCAGGAGCCCCGTGCTGCCTCCTGCCTTGTCCAGGTCCACGTAGGGCCCGGCGCCCTCAGGGAACATCTCGTCCACTGCCCGCTTCATCTTGCCCGCTGGGCCTCCCGCTTCCCCGGCCCACTTCCGGCCCACCTCACAAAATATTTCTTAAGTAATAAGACTTGAAAGTCACAATGACTCCTTGATCCATGGGCTGCAGAATGGATGTTGTGTCAGCAGGCATGAAAACATGAATCTCATTGTCCATCTCCATCAGAGCTCCTGGGTGACCAGGTGCATTGTTTGTGAGCAGAATATTTTGAAAGGAATCCCTTTTTTCTGAGAAGTAGGTCTCAGCAGTGGGCTTAAAATATTCAGTAGACCATGTTGTAAACAGATGTGCTGTAATCCAGGTTTTGTTATTCCATGTGTAAAGCCCAGGCAGAGTAGATTTAGCATAATTCTTTCGAGCCCCAGGATTTTCAGGATGGTCAATGAGCAGTGGCTTCAACTTAGTTACCAACTGCATTCGCCCCTAATAAGAGAGTCAGCCTGTGCTTTGAAGCTGTGAAGCCAGGCATGACTTCTCGCCAGTTTTCCAAGTCCTAGACGGCATCTCCTTCCAGTAGAAGGCTGTTTCATCTATATTGAAAATCTGTTGCTCAAGTCCTTCAGGAATGACCTTAGCTAGATCTTCTGGGTCACTGGCTGCAGCTTCTACATCAGCACTTGCTGCTTCACCTTGTGATTTTTTTTTAATGTCTTGAAGACAGCTTCTTTCCTTAAACCTCATGAACCCACCTCTGCTAGCTTCCAGCTTTTCTTCTGCAGCTTCCCCACCTCTCTCAGCCTTCACAGAATTGAAGAGAGTCAGGGCCTGGCTCTGGATCAGGCTTTGGCTTAAGAGAATGTTGTGGCTGGTTTGAACTTCTATCCAGACCACTGAAATTTTCTCCATATCAGCACCAAGGCTGTTTGCTTTCTGATCAATCATGTGCTTACTAAAGTAGCACTTTTCATTTCCTCAGGTACTTTTCTTTTGCACTCACGAATGGCCAGCTGGAGCAGGAGGCCTAGCTGCCGGCCTGTCTCAGCTTTCCACATGCTTTCCTCACCAAGCTTAGTTATTTCTAGCTTCTGATTTAAAGTGAGAGACATGCGACTCTTCCTCTCACTTGAACACTTAAGAGGCCAGTGTAGGATTATAAATTGGCCTAAGTTCTTTTCTTTTTCTTTTTCTTTTTTTTTAAGATTTATTTCTTTATTCCAGAGTAGGGGAGGAGTAGAGGGAGAGAGAATCCTAAACAGACTCCTTGCTGAGCGTGGAGGCCAACATGGGGCTAGATCCCACGACCCTGAGATCAGGACCCAAGCCAAAATCAAGAGTCGGACACTTAACTGACTGCACCACCCAGGCACGCCAGTTGGCCTAATTTCAATATTGTTGTCTCAGGGAATAGAGAGGCCCAAGGAGACTAGAGAGATGGGAGAACGGCCAGTGGAGCAGTCAACACACACATTTATGGATTAAGTTTGCTGTCTTATATAGGTGCAGTTTGTGGTGCCCCACAGTAATTACAATAGTAACATCAAAGATCAGGGACCACAGATCACCATAACAAATATAATAACAATGAAAAAGTTGGAAATATTGAGAGAATTACCAAAATGTAACACAAGAGATGTGAAGTGAGCAAATACTATTGGAAAACTGGTCCCAATAGACTTGCTTGATGCAGGGTTGCCACAAAGCTTCAGTTTGTAAAAGACGTTAATATCCGCAAAATGCAATAGAGCAAAGTACGATAAAATGAGGTATGTCTCCAAAGCAGTAGCCCCAATTTAAGGACAAAAGTGAGAGTAGGATGCAGAGCAAAGGAATAGTCTTCATCTTTCTCTGATCCAGATGGGTTTGATCAAGACAGTTTCCCCAAGTTCATTTTGGACCAGGTTGTTTTTGGTTTTGTTTTTGTTTTGTTTGTTTGTTTTTCATTTTTTCATCAACTATTTGAGGCCCACCCTTTGTCAGGCCCTGTGGTCAGTGCTGGGGATGGAGCGATGACCAAGGCAAACAGGAGCTGTGCCCTCAGGGAACTTAGAGTCTCCGAGGGAGTCACCTACGCTAGCAGGGTGCTTCCTGTCCTCCTTTTACTTCCTGGGTCCCTGCAGGAATGTCGGGGATGAATGGTGAGGGCTCCCTAATATGGGCACATTATATGGCCTTGATGGGACTTTGACTCAGAGACTCTTAAGTGCAGACTCTCCAGGCCTGTCTGCAGAGTTCCTAGGCTTGGGATAAGCCTGGCCTCAGCCTGAGCCAAGAACCCCTGCCTGTTTCCTTGGCACATTAATGGAGTAGAAGTTTCTGCCACCCCCTCTGCATCCCAGAGACACAGAGCCACTGCATATGATAAGGCACTGGGTTGGGTATGAGCCGCTTGCCCACAACTTCCTAAGCACATGGCCTCATCCATACCTCCGTGTGTTTACAAGGCTGAGGCATGTGCTCTGCTAGCCCCTGGCCCCTGTTCTTGCCCCCTTCCTAGCCCTCTGGGACTGGCCTCCTCTCTTGAAAAGCCTCTTTACTGCCACCTCCTAAGGTGAATGACTTCCCTGTTGCCTTTTCAGGCTAGCAAAACACCTTTGAGTGCCTCAGCTTCAGGAGCATGGCATTCAGATGCAGGCTGGGCCAAGATGATGTTTTACAGATGGAGAAACTGAGGCACAGTGAGATCAGCTAGCTACTGCTTGTCAGGACCACCCAGGTCTTACCTCTCTCAGTCCCCCATTTGGTATACCACTCTCAGCAGGAAGGCACATTATCTGCCCCTAGATCACTTCCATTCTCCCTGATCCGGGCCATCAGGATAACATGAAAGAACACGGCATGAGAAATCTTAAGGAAATAAGATTCATGTTTTATTTCCACAAAGAAATCCCAAAGTAGGAAACTTCTCCTGAAGAATTGTCACAGTGACTTCAGGTCACAAAACAGAGTAGGTGAAGAAAGTGGCAGGTTTATCCGATGAGGTTTCTGGACAAGGAGACCCCATAGTTCAGTTGGAAGAAACGAGGGACAGACAGACCAGGTTCAACCTGGAAAAAGCAGGTGTCAGCACCCAGACCAAGCCTGACACAGGGAGAGAGTTGGGGGTGGGGCACAGTTGAGCTCCTTGATGGCTGATGTTGTTCAGGACCTCAGTTATGATTGGAAATAATTTTCTAGAAGAAAAGAAAGAGCAAACAGTAGAATGTGGCTGCTCCTGAATGTGTTGAAACCGGGTATCCTTTCATCCAGCCTCTACGCTGCCAGTTTTTTGGTGTCCTACCTGTTTCACCTGCGCATTCCCTTACTCCTGCTTCTCCCTGAAACAGATTTTGTGGTTCTGCCAAGTTTATCTTTTGCCCCTTCCCCACTGGTGACTCACTTCCTCCTGCCTTTGAGCCTTTCTCTGCAGTTACCCCAGACCCTTCTGTCCTGTCCCTCTCCTCCACCTCCCCTTATGGCTGTCCCTGCACGGCCCTGCCTCTGGCAGGCCTCCACTCAGCGCTCAGAGGGTGCTTTCCGAGTGTCCTTGGTCATTTCCTGATGAGTCTTTCTCCACGCCCCACGCTGGGGTCTCCTCGATGCCTTTAGAACATCCACCCAAAGCAAAGCGAATGCCAAGATCCCAGCCCTGCCCCTGGAGTGGCTGTGCCTCAGCTCCTGGATGCAGGCTTGCACTGCTCACTCTGACACTCACCTACCAGAACTTCACCCACTGCAGCAGGCCAGGGCGCACCTGGGAAGCCTACAGGACAGGGAGAACGTCTGAGTGGCCATGGCCATGGCCCTGGCCTCAGGGAGAACGTCTGAGTGGCCATGGCCATGGCCCTGGCCCTGCATACCCTCTGGCCCCAGACCCCTTCTCTCAGGAGCCAGATTTTCTCTGCCCCACTACTCACCGAGGAAGAAGGCGTGGCTCCCCCCTGGAAAGAGATCAGAGGAGGTGATGTGGGGCTACAGTGACCTCTGCCATGTCTTCGGGGCCCAGGGGCAGGCTCAGACCCAGATTATCTCGGAAGTCCTTGGGTCTGACTATGGACTGAATGGACTTTCTTTCAAAGCAGATTTATCATCCTAAGTACATTTACCCAAGATGAGCACACACTGGCCAAGCAGAGTGAACAGAAGGTAGATAGGTAGATAGGTGTCCTTCTGCCTGCTAGGTGGATGGATAGAAATTGGCCACAAATCACTGGCGAGTGGATACCCACAGGCAGTGTTAGCTGCTTCTTTACCTGCTTCCAGTCAGGAGGTGACTCCTGATCTCTCAGCAGAAGTCCTGTCCCTGAGGCCAGGGGCTTCCTTGTTCTGAGAGATGGAGGGAAATAGCACCTGTTTTTTCTTCACCAGCAAAATTAGTATTTAGCATGTTCATTTACTGAATTTATAAGATTGCTTTCTTTGCAACTGAACGAAACAAAAGTCTCAGGGTTGTTTTGTTTTGTTTTGTTTTTTCTGTTATTTCCTTTGTGGAACGAAGCATTAATTTTCCCACCAACCACAAGTTTCTGGGCAAGCCTCCCCTAAGTGTTAGTGTGCCCCCTTCTCGCCCTCCCTCCCCCCAACCCCCACGAAAGTCAGCAGTTAAAGAGGTGGAGAGAGCAGACACTACTACATGGGAAGGCTGCTAGTTTGGCTGTGTGTCATGTGAGTTTTTTTTAGAGCTGTATATCACTCTTTGAGAGGATGTTGGTTCCCAGTTTTCTCCAGGGCATGTGACATAGCTACTGCCCCCTTGTAACCTTTTCTGAGTGGGTGGATGTGGAGAACATTGAACCTCCCACCCTCCACTTCCAGATGGTTCTCAGGGAGCCCGAGTCTCCCTACACAGGGGCGAGACATGACTTTCAAAATGAACAGGATTCGGCCTCAGCTAAGCCTGGCCGTGAAAGCCTACCTCCCTCACCCCCCATGCAGAGACCCCAGTGGGGAAACAGGGCAGTTAGAGTCTTACCTTAGAGGGGATCTTGGCTGAGTACTGCCCACCAGAGGGAGTAGGGTATGCCTGCTGGTTATAGGTGTTCTGTGGAAAAAAGCCAGGGTGGGGAGGGGGCGGGGAGAGGGGAGTGTTGGTAGAAGAGAAAGGATGAGGGCATTTTGCTGTGGAATAAATACCCTGGCTCCTGGCCTGGGCCAGACCTGTCTCTAAGCCCCCGCTTTCCCTCCTTGTGTCATGCATTTTTTTCTATAGAATCTTCCTTCAGCCAGCCAGAGCCCACAGTCTCACCTCTCTTATAGTCCTAGTCCAAATGGCCCTTCCTTCTCCTTCCCTGGTACCTCTCCCAGCTCCTCAAGTGTTACTCGGGAGATGAAGGCAGGAGACCAAGGAAATGAGTGAGGTTTTCTGTGTTTTTTTTAAGATTTTATTTATTTATTTGACAGAGAGAGAGATAGAGCACAAGTAGGCAGAGTGGCAGGCAGAGGGAGAGGGAGAAGCAGGCTTCCCGCTGAGCAGGGAGCCGGATGCGGGGCTCGATCCCAGGACCCTGGGATCATGACCTGAGCCGAAGGCAGATGCTTAACCGACTGAGCCACCCAGGCGCCCCATGAGTGAGGTTTAAATCAGGTGGTCAGGTGGCAGATGTCTTACCTTAGAAGTCACCACGGCCACCTCTTGCCATCCTGAGCCAGACTGAGAAAACAACAGAATGGGGGTGTGGAGGAAAGTGAATTTCAGATTGGCCAGCCCTGAGAACCAGACCGAGAGGGACCTGGGGCCATCAAAGGTAGTCTGAGGGCAGAGCGACTCACCTGACCGGCACTGCCCGACCTCTTCTGGAGCAAGGACGCATCAGCACCCTGGAAGGGAGAGAGCCGCCATGAGGGTGTCCTTGTCCAAAGTCCTTTGGGTCCTGCCAGACTCACGGGGCTCCAGCAGCCTGCTGCCTAGGCTCTGCCCTCCTGTGGGAGCACCAGCACCCACGCACCCCACCACACCCCTCTCCATGGTCCAGGATCAGCAGTGCCTCCAGAGAAGGCAGTGAGCCTAGAGGACACTGATGACCCCGATAGATATAGGACAGATTTCTACACTCAGTGTAGGGGAGCGAGGCACCCCCACCCGCACCTGTGCATCTGGAGCTTCGGCAGGCCGGCCTGGGACTGAGCAGGAATGGCAAGTGAGCGGTGCCCACACGGCTCCCTTGGGGCAGACAGGGCACCTCAGCCCCAACCCACCTTCTGCCGACACCAAACCCTGCTCCCTCCTTAGCCCTATAATTCCTGTTCACAAACACTGTTCCCATAGGGTTCCTGGAAGGATGGGCTGTTATCATCAGCAAACAGAGGCAAAGTGAGGTGATTAGATTGGCACTGGGCTGAAGGAGAGAGAGAAAGGGGAGAAATGCAAGAAAGCCCATCAAGCCACGTGAGACACAGCACCAGTGCATGGGCCATACCCCGCACCCCCACCCCCAGTCAGGGCAAGTGGAAAATTCTCAGCAGCAGGAGAGTTTAGCTTCTGCAACCACCACTTCTCCACTTGGAACCCCCATTCCCACCCCCCCCCACACACATACACACAGGGTTAGGATGTTCCTCCTAACTGTGACTTAACTCCCATTGAATTTTAGCCCCACTCTTAGCCCTAACACTGAGGTCACAAACTGCTTGACCACAGGCTTCCGGGCATTTTTTGCTTGGCCTGCATTTTTAAATTAAATTAGTTGTGAACAGTTAAAAATCAGATTTCCATCAGACGACATGGCCACACTGGTCATTCATGAGTGCATGACAACACGCACCTGGAGGGCCCTGACCTCCCCCTTTGCGTGGCCCCACCTGTCCAGCCTCCTGTGCCTGGTCCACACAGATGAGTGAGTGGGCAACCTTTGCGTCAGTGCCCAAAGGCCACTGGCCATGAAGAATTAAGATGTGGCCTTCTGCAGGACCCCTCCTTCCCAGAACCCAGATATTCAGACCTTCTGCACCTGCTCACGCTTAACCATGGCCTGACCTGCTCCCCTCGTGCTTCCTGTTTCCTTTCAGCTTTCCTCCCTAACACCCCTTTCCCAGTTCTGAGCGTTGACCCCAGCTCCAGGCTCCTCTCTTCCCCACCTCGTGTCCCCTGCCTGTTCACCCTGCAGTACCCACCCAGCTGAGGCTCCCCCTGAGCCAGGCCACGCCCAGCAGGACCAGCAGCAGAGCAGAGACAGTGGCTGGCTTCATGTTCCTGTGCCTGTGGAGGCCCCAGCCCTTGGCTTCAGCTTTTATCCCGGGGAGGACTGCCCACCCTACTCCTTCTCTAGTGACTCACCGGCTCCTCTCTCCTACCCCACCCCCACTTAGTGTTGCAGAAAGGGAGGAGAGTGGGAAGGGAGGGAGGTGGCCTCCCTCAGCAGGGAAGGTAAGCAACAGGGACTGAATGCAAGCCATTGCCAAGAGCCCAGATCCCATGTCCCCAGATTTGGGCTTCCTGATCCCAAAACGAAAGGTTCTGCCACCCTTACCTCAATAATGGCTTTCCAGTTCAGGAAAGGGGTGTTGTGTTTGAAATCCTAGAGGGAGGAGAAGACAGGAGTGGGCCTCAGAGCAGGGAGTGTGGCAGCTTGTTGGAAAGTTTTAAGCTCCTGTGCAAGAACGGGTTTTGGTGCCTGGGTGTGGTTTGGGGTTAGATGAAGATAAGCGTACCGGAGGTTGAGGGTGTTAGCACTTCTGATGGTATTCGGGTGAGATTACCCATCTCAAAAATGAAAAGAGGGCGAATTTTGTGACAGGTGGGCTGGAGCTTGAGGAGGTGGGGAGAGGGACAGATGACCAGATCCCCAGTCCTCTGAAAAGTGAGAGTTCTCCTACCTCCCAGAGTCGGCTGAAGTAGAGCAGGGCGCGTGTGCTGGGGCGTGGGACTTGGCCCTGTAGAGGAAAGGTTGGGTGCAGGTGAGCAGGAAGCACGGCCCCTTGCTCACCTACACCCCTATTCCTGATACCACCATCGCTCAGCCTTCAGAATGTAATTGTGCCTAAGGTTTGAGGGGAAGCTGGGTGTCTTTTAGTGACACCAGAAAACTGCTTTTGGAAGCAGAGGGAGAGAGATTAGATCTCTGGAGCCGCTAACCAGCTCCCCTCACCCCCACACACACCACACTCTTCACTCTCCCTGCTTCTCCAGCCTCTGGCAGAACCTCACTGCAGCCAAACCTTGAGGACTGGGACCTGCCCCCAGAGCTTCCCACCTTCTTACCTGCCCTTCCACCCCAGCCCATTTGCCGAAGCTATGGGGCTGTGGTTGACCCTTCCAAACCCCCTGGAACAACAGTGGAGACGTAAGAAAGGATCAGAGACCAGGAGTGTGAGGCAGCTACGGTTTATTTCAAGGGTAAGGGTTGAGATTAGTGGTGGGGTAGTGGGGTTTTAAGGGGTGTGGGGTTCCCATCCATCTGGTAGCACCTTGTCTGGAGGTCATGGGGTGCGAAAGCTCCTCTGGTCCTGGGCAAAGAAGTAAGTTCTAAGAGGGAGCTCAAGGAATAAGAATTCAGGGCCTAATTGGCCAAGTCAGGGGTGGATTAGGCCTCTGCTCCTGAAATCCGCAGGGATCTTTTTGCCCATGGCTGTCATCCAGCCAAATCCAGATATTCCAGTTTGGGATGAAACACCTCATACTTGCCAAGAACTGTTACGTAGAGTCTCCCTGTTGTCCCTGCTCACTCTGGCCCCAGTGCTCAGCTCCCTCCCTGTGAAGGCGATGGGCCTTCTGTTCTCCTCTCTGCCCGTCTCTGGCCTGCCCCTCTCCCTAGATCTGCTCCTGGGGGAGCTGCCCCAAATGGATCCTGCCTAACTGTGAGCGCTCCCTTTACTGCCCCACCCACCCAGATGTGCAAGAATGTTCACTGCCTTCCTGGCCCCCAGGAAGTATCAGTCTGTGCCTCTGACCCTAAGTTCTCGTGCTCTGGGGCCTCGTCTACCCCAGGTCCATGGTAAAGAGCCTCCCGCCTATCAGAGACCATTCTCTCTAAAACAAACAGTCGGGGCACCTGGGTGGCTCAGTCAGTTAAACATCTGCCTTCCGCTCAGGTCATGATCTCAGGGTCCCAGGATCAAGCCCCGCATGGGCTCCCTGCTCAGCAGGAAGCCTGCTCTCCCTCTGCCTGACGCTCCCCCTGCTTGTGTGCTCTCTCTGACAAATAAATAAATATAATCTTTAAAAAAAATTAATAAAGCAGAAACAGTCCATTTGGCTCCTTTAGTTCATCCAAACCTGCACCGCGCTGCGCCTGGGAACCTGCCTCCCACATCTTTCACTCTCCCACCTTCTTCCCCGAGTTGCAGACTTGGCCTTGCCTGAGAGTAGGGCTTTCTCTTCACCTCCCTGTCTACCACCACCTTGTCTCCCCCACAAGTTTTAGAGGGCAGGGAGCCTTGTCTTCCTTCTTTTATGGTAAGGGTCCGAAGCCCAGCTGCTGGGGTGACTGTGCCGGGCAGCAGCCTTTGGCACCTGGAGAGAAGCAGCCTCTAGTCAGCTCTTGTCTGTCAGAGGAGCTCGAGCTCAAGGAAAGAGGGCCCCCCATTGCCTCATTTTTCAAGAGAAGCCAGAATTCCGAGTGTTTTATAAACCTCTCAGTTTTTAAACTTTGGCAACTAATTCATAGTGTCTTTAAAATTAAAAAAAACAACAACAATGGATCAAACAAAGCACATCAGTGGGCCGTCAATTGCAACTTCTGCCTTTGGTGTTTGTTCGCGCTGTTGGTCTGCCTTTGCTCTGGAGGCACGTCTGCTATTCAGGTGTCAAATCAGCCTGGCCAGGTTCCCCCTGAACATGGGAGGGGTGGGCAGGGGGGGAAGGAGAGAGGGGTTCTGGGCCCCAAGTGCCTCCTAAACTTATGCACACCCAGGGTCCAGAATGCCTGGCACGCGGCAGGCACTGGGCACATAATTGCTTCCTTTCCCTTCTCTCTCAGTGTCAGTCCTCCTGGGGGCCTTTAGCACCTCCTGACTGTTCAGTCCGCCCCCTACCCTGCCTCTGCTACCTCTCTGGTTTCCTGAGGACTAGGCCTCCTCACTCTCCCCTTAATCTTCCAGGTCTTGTTGGAGAAACTGAGGTTCACGCCTGCTCAGTCTGCACACTGAGACATGAAAGAGGCCCATTCCTTCCTCATCCTGGACTCCCAGCTGTTTCCAAACCACCCCCTCTTCTCAGCTCTGCCTCCTTCCTCTTTGTTTTTGTCCTTTTTTTAAGCACTGGACAAAACACCCTTCCAGTGCCATCATCGTTTTCCCCAGCTCCCCACTCGGGGGGTTAGCAGTTAGCTTTCTTCTGTTTTCTTCTCCCACAGAGATCCCACAGAGATGGCCTTCCAGCCCTTACCTTGTTTATGGCATCCCAGTTAATGAAACCCAGCTTGGATTTAAAATTCTGCAGAGATTAAAAAAAAAAAAGATGGAAAATGGCAAATTGAGTTGTGACGTAATGTAATGTTGGCTCAGGGCTTCCAGGCAAGAGGTCAAGGGCCATCTGATGTTCGGTCCTTCTGGAAAGAGGACTTCAGCCTAAAGGGCAGAGGAACAGAGCTTTGCTTTTCCAAAGAGTGAGCAGAGAGATCTTGCATGAACTCACCTTCCAGAAAGTGTCAAAGTTGAAGAGCCCAGGAGACGTCTGAGAGTTCTAAGGAACCGAAAAGAAAGGGGATGAGAGTAGGAACCCACCCTGTGAGCAAAAGGCAAGGGCAGAAGCTCTGGGGGTCAGGAGGGGAGGCAGGGATTGCTTGACACCATGGTCCCGGCCAAAGGTGGGGCAATGCCTCCACTCACCAAGGTATTGATCCCACTGACAGCGTCACCTCTTACTGGACCCTTGCCTCTGGGTAGGAAGGAGGGACTACTGTTCAAGCCCTCTGCCTCCTGTCATGCATACCACCTATCAGCCTGGCTCCTGGCCCACCATCTCTGCCTTTGCTCAAGCTCTGTGTACTCTGTGTAAAGCCACCTCCTCTCCTTTGTCACATAGCAGCTAGGAAACCCCACCTTCTTGGAATGATTTGCCACTTATTCCTAGAATAACCCTGCCCAGTCCCTTGAATCATATTCCTATTCTGCCTCCCCCAGAGCCTGTCCCCAAAACACTGCTGGGAGCTAATGTGTAATCAGCCCCACCGTCTGCCTAGCACAGTGCCTTATCCGGCCACATTTCCTGTGTGGAGACATCTCCACTTGACGGATGAGGGAAGCAAACTCAGAGCTGTCCAGCAGCGTGCCTCATGATCTGTCTCCTTGTCAGACTCCAGTGTCCGGATCCTGAACCACCTTGCTCTGGTTATGATGCAGAAAGCTCTGCAGTAACTGTGGGGTTGAGCAAGGTAGGTTTTGCAGTTTCCATTTTACCCAAGAGGAGGCCCAGACTCAGAGAGGTCAACTGCCCTGCCTGAAGATGCACAGATGACAGGTGAGACAGCTGTCCTCTGAACCCCCATCTTCTAACTCAGAGGTCACTGCTTTCCACTTCTCAACACTTCTTAAGTATGGTTTCCAAAAATAGCCCCTTGACCATTCTCCTGTTACTTATGGCTATGTTTCCCCTCACAGTGATAATACACAGTGATGATCACAGTTTGAAGAAGGGAGAGAATGGATGAACCAAGGAGACAGGGATTCCAGACCCCTGTCTGGTCTCCTGGTGGTCACTCACCACAGAGAGCAGCTTGCAAGAAGATACTGATGTTTCTGTTTCTTTTCCCCATCCCTTAGCATTCTGTCCCCACACTCCACCACCCCTTCTCCTAAAGCCATCCCTGCTTACCTGATAATTGTCTTGGGGGCCCCCAACCAGGCGACTGCCCTCTTTTCTTATTTCCTGCGGAGAGAGAAAATGGAGAAGAGTCACTGAGGAAGCAGGGAACATGCAGGATGAGAGAGTAGGATAGTAGGATGTGGGCCAGGGACTCCTGAATCAGGGGACTGAGGCACAAACACAGCAGAAGATTTCCCAGAGCCCCAAGAGAGGCTCTTCTCCCTGGCAAATCTTGTTTCAACTTCCTGTGGATTGGGTTATTGCTCACTTACAATACTTATTGGCAACATAACCATCTCTTTATATTCACTTCTGCAAACTTCCCAAAATCCAGTAGGAAGGGCCTTTGCCACAAAAGTATCTGAATTGTCCCCTGGTTTTGAGGCAGAAGCCAGCCAGACTGTTGGACTAAACTGATTCAGACTGCGGGACACAGTCTGGGCGGAAGTGTTGCATTGGTCAGAAAGGGGACGCTGGCTGGAGAGTCAGCAGGAGCCTAGGTGGCACAGAAGTCATCTGGTTCCTCTCCTCCTAAGTTAGAGGGAGGCGCCTCTTGAGTCCCACTTTCCCGGGACTGAGATGAATTCCCCGAGGTAAGATCAAGACCAGCCTGCGGTGCGGGACTATCTGCACTGTTAGCATTGCTGCTGCAAACTTGACCTCCATCCCATCTCCCGCCACCAGTCTCTACTCTCAAGGCCGGTCATCTCCTTACCCTGATGTCACCATAGCCACCAGAGCCTCCCTGTCCTCCTCCAAAGCCCTGAGGGATGAGACAGTGCAACAGAGATCATTGTTTTAGATCTTAGGTCCGTCCCTGCACCTTTATGTACTGATTTAATACAATTCCTCTAAAAATCCTCATGGAATTCTTTTTTGGAACTGGTCAAAATAATCTTGGAATTCATCTGGAAGAATAAATGTTTAAGAATAGGTGAGAGGGCGCCTGGGTGGCTCAGTCGTTAAGCGTCTGCCTTCGGCTCAGGTCAGGATCCCAGGGTCCTGGGATCGAGCCCCGCATCGGGCTCCCTGCTCGGCAGGAAGCCTGCTTCTCCCTCTCCCTCTCCCCCTGCTTGTGTTCCTGCTCTCGCAATCTCTCTCTCTCTGTCAAATAAATAAATAAAATCTTAAAAAAAAAAAAAAGAATAGGTGAGAAAACACTGGAAAAGACAGGCAACAAAGGAGGACTTGTACTGGCAAATATTAATGTACCATAAAGAAAGCAGCATCACAGAACAGATGAGTCAGTTTAACCAAATAGAACTCCCAGAAGCTTTCCCAAAATATGAAGGTATTTACAAGTGACATTGTACATCAGTGGTGTAAATAATTCAATGCGTGTGGCTGGGAACACCAGTTAAATATCTAGGGGGGTGCAGGGGGCACTTAGTTATACTTTGCTGGTCCCTCCCTCCTGTTTTTATCTGGTTTTCCCTTCATTAGAGAGCACATAGCTCTGATCCAAAGTGTGGGGCAAGTCTAGCTGAACTGAGGAATGGGACTAGATTGTATACAGCAAAGTAAAGCCCAGATATATTAAAGAGTTAAATAGAAAAAATGAAAGTATAGATGTATTAGTAGTTCTAGAAGAAAATAGAGGCCTTTTTCTTTTCAAGAGCAGAAACCGTAGAAGAAGAGATTGGTATATTTGACTACATATTTAAGACTTTGATACACAAAACACTAAAAAAGAGTTACAAGCTGGGAGCTTTCCTAACACCTGTCTACCCATAGAGGTTAGTATCCTGAATATCCAAGGAGCCTAATATTCAGAGAGCCTTCTCCCCATCGGCTGCGTGCATACCAGCGGACATCGGCCTTGCCCAGAACCTGGTAGAAACCAAATCTCAGCCCCACCCCAGGCCTGCTGACTCAGAACCTGCATTTTCACAAGACCTCTAGGTGATTCGTGGGGACCTTAGCATAACACTTCCTCTTGTCAGTGCTGCAGGTGCTGACAGGAAGACCAGATTTCCAGAATGACTAGGAGGGAAGTGTACCCATTCCAAACCCAGTTTCCAAATGCTATCAAAGAGGTCACGGTATTCTGTTCACTGGCCGGGTGGGTGTAGGTCGTTTGAAGTGATTGTTTCTAAAAAGGACTGGTTTCTATGTAATTTTTCACAGCCCCATCCACGGTATAAAGTGAGGCACATCACATAAGGATTTGCAATTATTACTTTGGAGATTGTTAATATTTGTAGGAGTATATGTTTGGTTTCTTCCCCACGGAAGGGGCTGGGATGGAGGTTAGCCTTAGGAGTGGTGCCAAGCAGGAGTGGGCACAGTCCCAAGTTTGGCTCTCACCTGACCCCCAGATCCTCCGGATATGCGGACTTCATTCCCTGGGCTGTCACACTGTGAGAGAGACAGAGACAGCTTTCCCTCTGTTGCCACGGAGACACCAATCCCAGCCCCCACACTGCTAGCCCGCAGCCGCCCCACCTCAGCCCATTCTCAGCTCTGGCCGGTGCTCTCCCAGCTCCCCCATCATCCGAGGGGCCTTAGCACCCCTTATTTCCCCTCCCCTTCAGGGAAAGGAGGCCAATCTGTGAAAGTGTATGCTCAGCCGACACTCACCCCGGGTTTATTTACGCCGCCACTTCCGCCGCCACTGCTACCCGAGGAAGAGCCGGTATTGTGTCCCTACGAGGGGAAGCAAGAGTCCACACAGCAACTTTTTTTATTATTATTAACGATTTTATTTATTTATTTGATAGATAGCACAAGTAGGCAGAGAGGCAGGCAGAGGGAGAGGGAGAAGCAGGCTCTCTGCTGAGCAGGGAGTCGGACGTGGGGCTCAATCCCAGGACCCCAGGATCATGACCTGAGCCGAAGGCAGCCACTTAACAGACTGAGCCACCCAGGCGCCCCTCCACACAGCGTCTTAAAGGGACTCAGCGGGAACCAGATAGTTGCCAGGGTGTTATGATTTGTTTACTCCCTTCTGTCCAACCTCCATCTCTTCCCATTTTGAGCCAGCTAGCCACTGAGGAAGTTATTCGGAGCACAAGGGACAGGTGTGGCCAAGTGTATTTGGAAATGTGGGACAGTTTGGGGATTCTGAGCTGCTGTCCTCTCCCCCCATCACATGCCTGAAGTGAAAAAGCCTCTGGAGCCTAACATCTTAGAGCCTTGACCCTGGCATCTAGGGGCTCATTCGGTTCGCCCCCTGCCTCTCCTCACCCCTCCCTCTCCTGGGACCTAGAAAGAGGAAGAAGGGACCCCGAGAGTCCTTACCTGGGAGCTTGAGTAGTCGCTTTGATCAAAATTCCTAGAATTTTCTAAGGAACGGTCCTAGATTGGGAGGGAAAGCAGGTAGTATGAGGAGCAGTAAATTAAAGCAGCTTACGTGACCTGGCTTGTTCTCGTTACTTCCCTCTTCTTGCCTCAGACCTTTCCCAGATACCCAAGGAAGCCAACTGTGCTCCCACTTTGTGGGGCCCCCTCTGTGGGAGAGCCACCCTCTGTGGCTGCCAGGCCGTGGTCCCCTCCCGGCCCCGTCAGCCCTTCTAGAGGGGCCTCATGTGCCCTGTATTTATCGGCGTCACCTACACCACAGCTCTGTACGTGTCCTTGTCTCTGCGTGTGCGACACGCCTGCCCCCCTTCTCTTGGGAGCCTCCCAAGCCGGTGCCTGGTTTCCTGTGTCCAGCTGTCTTCTCCCCTCTGCCACCCCCCTCTCTAGTCACATCTGCCCTGCGGCCGCGAGAGTCAGTTAGACAGGAGGCAGAGCGTCCCCACCGCGTGCAGTGGAGCGGAAGGGAGTCGAGCGGGCCGTCGCAGGCCAGGCACCTGTGCCGAGGCGTCCCCGGCTGTGTCGGGAGCCCTGCCTGGCGGGGCCGGGCGGGGGGGGGCAGGAGCTGAGGAGCCCCAGGATGGCGAGCAGAGGAGCAGAACTCACCCAGCTGGACCCGTAACTGCTGCTGCCGCCACCACCACTGCCACCTCTGCTGGCATCACCGCCGCTGCCACCACCTCCGCCGCTGCCTCCCTAAGGGGCAGGAAGAGACCAGAGTGAGAACATCAGGAGTGTTGGCTTCCCTCCCTCGCCTCCCTCTCTGGCTCCAGCGTATCCCGTGCGCAGTTGGAGGGAGCCGACATTCTGTCTACTCCCCGCGCAAAACGCCTCTGATTGCCTGTCCCCTTACCCCCGAGCTGCTGGAGCTTCCGCCTGAGCCGGATGGTGGGGGGTTGGTGCACTGTGGAGGAAAGTTTCCAGGGACGGGTGAGTTCCCAGGCTTGGGTCAAAGCCATCACCACAGGCCAGGCTCTCCTGCTTCCTGTGGCTTGGCCTTCTTTCCCCACGTGCCCGTCCCCCTTCCCTCCCCTCTTCCTGGCCTCATCATCTGGCCCATCTCTTCCCTGTCCAGTCTGCCTTGTACCTCAACCCCCCATCCTTCTTTCCTTCCTCTTCATCTCTCCTACTTTCTGTCACATGCACCCGGACACCCTCTTCTTCCCGACTCTTCCCCTTACCTCTGTGTGTGAGTTGCTGCCTCTCACGGAGCCGTAACCAGGTTGGACCACAGTCCCCTGCAGAGAGGAGGAGGCTGAGTGTGGGTACGGACAAAAAGATGAGGGAGGCGTGGAGAGCGTGGGCTTGAAGGGCAGGAGGTTGCAAGCCTCAGGGCTGGGGTGGTTACTGTACCCGAGCGTTGGTGGCCGAGCTGAAAGACCCTCTATTGCTTTCTTGGCCCTAGGGGCCTCCCTGAGAGTGGGTTCCAAAGCTTCCATCTGAATCTCGGGGGTATCCCTGGCCCTCCAGGATTGCCCTGGCTGTGGCCTCCAGAGCCACCCTGGGAGCCAAAGATGCCGTAGCCTCCAGATGGAGGCTGGCCATTGGTTCCCTGCAAGGGCAACACACCTGCACTGAGTGTGTGTGCCTTAGCCCCTCTCTGATGGGGGGGGTGCGGCGCCGCACAGCAGGACATAGGCAGAGACAGGTAGAAGGAGACCCCAGTGTGGTAGAAGGATGCATCATCACATGGAGGGAAACCACCCCAGATAGCCACAAATAAGAGACCCAGTCATCCTTCCAGCTGATTCCCAAGATTCTCAACCCAACTGCCCACAGTGTCCCATTTCCACACCCAGCTGCCAGCTACTCACCCAAGCACTGCTGCTGCCTGGCATCCCCTGCCAGGAGCTGTGGACAGCATCTCCTCCATGTCGAATGATGTTCTCAGCCGGTCTGCCAGCCTCACCCGCAGTGTTTCCAAGGGCACGGGCTGCTTCCCCCATGTCGTGGCCCATGACCTCCCTGGTTGCGGAGCCAGCTGCCTGTCCAGCCCCTTGGCCAACAGCCTCTTCGACTCCATGGCTAATGGCGTCTCCCGCCCCCTGTCCAATGGCGTCTCGCACCCCATGTCCCACGGCCTCCCCAGCACCTGCTCCAGCGCTCTCCCCTCCTCTCAGCAGTGGGCCAGCCTCCCCACTGCCCAGGCACAGGGCCAGCAGGAGGCAGGCTAGGGAGCCCTGTGACTTCATCTCTGCCTTGCTCCTCTTCCTCCCGTCTTCTTCCCACCCGAGTTTTCTTCTCTTTGCCCTTCCTCCCCCTCCGTGTGTCTGTGTGTGCCCTCCTCTGTGCTCTTCCTCCTTACTCTTCCGTCCCTCTAAGTCCGCAGCCTTCTCTCTCCTTTCCCAGGCTCCCCTGCCTTCCCAGAGTCTCCTCCCTGCTGCTACTCCTTATACCGTGGCCTGGGAGAAGGTGACAGGGCTGGGTAGCCCAGAGTCCCTCCCTCGTGACTCAGGGCCAGCCACGGATAGGGTAATGAGCTGTAATTGTGAGTCTGAGAGTCTGTGTTGAAACAGAGAGGGAGCCCAAGGATCAGGGAGGGAGGACGAAATGGGATAAGGCAGGTGCAAAAGTGTTCCAATTTCCCAACCCCAGGAATTTGGGGTGCAGGGTGGGGATGGGGACATCTGAGGAGATAGTTGGTTGGTGTCTCATAGAGGTGATGGGGTGGAGGGTCTCAGGAGAAAGGAACAACAGGCGGGACCCAACCAGGAGGCAAACGTAGGGAGCCCAGTGGGGCAGGACCCACCCGAGGTGTAAGCCAGCCTGGCTTAGGGGCACCGGGATGAGAGGCAGCTGCCCTTTCTTGGCCTTGCTCTCTCAGCTTTGGTGGCCTTTTTCTCTCCCATCTCTCTTCCTTCCCATACTGCCACCTAAAGGTGACTGTCCTCACACTCTTCCATACCTTGCAGCCCACAGAGAGTCTGGGAGCTGTGAGACTGCCTTCCGTGGGGACCCCAGGTACCAAGGAAGGAAGTGGCCAGCCTGAGAGGGGTCATCAGGGTGTCTCAGCACTGGGGCTGCTCTTGGCCAAGAAAGCTGGGTGTGGAGCAGGGAACTGGCCAGGCCAGCCACCCCCAGGGGATGAGTGGGAGGGAGCAGCTGACCCAGGCACCCACCCTGTTTACCTGGCCCACAGGGGCACGTGTGTGAGCTCAGAGCCTCCTGAGAGGACTGGTACTGCTGCTCGCCCCACCCACCCCCCAGTCTCCCCAGGGCCTAGCGGCACCAGCAAGGGAGGAGGGGTCAGCGCGAGCCCCCTACCCCACCCCCTTCCAGGGCCCTATGTCAGCAGCATGGCCCTCTCCTCGTCCCAGCTCAGGACACAGGGCTCAGGCATCTTCCCCATCTCACCCCTGTCCAGCACCTGGCTGCTTCTCTGCTCCCAGGGCCCCTGGGCCTCCCACCTGTCGCTGGCCTTGTATCACTGAAACTCATCACCAAGTTAGGAGGGGCCAATATCTATCTGCCTTTCCCAATGTCTCTCAGTCAGTCTCTCTCCACCCCAGCACCCGCACCCCAACTTGTAACATCCAACACCTCTCACCGCGTAAACACAATCCCGGTCTGTCCTGGGCACCTCCTACCTCCCTGTTATTCCACCTCTCTTTAATGACCGTGATAATGGTGGTGATGGTAACCATCATCGTAATCATCCATGCAGCTCCAGTCTATCCACAGCTCTGTGTGCCCAGCGCCGGACTAAGCGCTTTAAGGCTCACACCGCCCTGGCAGATAGTCTTAGTATTACCCCGTTTAGAGACAGAGAATCTGGGGCTCAGAGGGGGATGGTGGTGTGTGGTAGAACCAAAGCCAAGCCCAGGCCTGCTCCACTCCTAAACCCTGCTCCCAGCACGTTCTTCCGTCATCTGTCTCAGACCTCCCCTGCTTGTCAAAACCTTCACTCTTCTCTGGATTGAATTGGTGGTGGTTTTGCCCTGGGGCCTTATGAAGGGCAGGGGCAGGGGACAGGAGTAAATCTGAGGCCTCTGGATTGCTGATGGACACCTCGGCCCGAGCCGGCTGCTTCCACGTCCAAGGGCAGGACCATGGGCCTGGAGGTAGAGCGCTCCCTGCCTCAGAGACTCCTTCCCACACTTCCCTCATGGGATACCACCTTCACCGTGGTATGTATCTGCCCCCTGACCCAGCTCTGTTACTAGTATTTTTCTTTAAGCCAGCTTACTTTCTTAAGCATATTTTATGTTGCTACTGTAAGTGGAGAGCCAGGATCACTTGCCCATAAAGAGAAAGTACCAGAAAACATAGAAGCCCACAACACTATTACATGATAGCTGGCTGCGGGTCCTGTGTTAAAAAAGGAGATTGGCAAGTATGAGGGAGGTAGTCAAGGCACAGGAGCACAGAAGTTGAGTCTTCATCTCTAACATAATCAGAAAGTTTCAGAGAAAATTGAGAAAAGGACCCGGCTCTCACTGTGTGATTCAGACTTATTCAAAGCCATGTTCCTGAACCAGCTGGATTCTCCCATGCACTCCCATGCTCTGCCTTCTGGAGAAAACTACCCTCAGGCATCTCTGGACCTGAGAGGTCACCTCACGTGGTCTGCAGGCATATTTATGAAATACCTGTTGTGAACCAAGTAGAAGGCTAAGTGCTTCCACATGCGTGATCTCATTTAATCCTTATGACAACCTCGGGGCGGGGGCGGGGGCGGGGGCGGGGGGAGGGTAGACATTCCCATTTTACAGGTGAGGTAACTGAGGCCCAGGGCTGGTAAACACATACATAATAGCGTGTTTAAAAGAGATGGTGGTAAAATGGTGCTGTCCGAATATGACCCAGGTCTGTCTGACTCCAAACAGCTTTTTCTCCTACATCCATGCCTCCTTTGTTCTTGTACCTAATGGTGTCCACAAATCTGACCTGCCTGACCTCATGTCCTCTGATTTCAGCTTTTCTAAGTCACTATTTCATTCATTCCGTAAGTATTTATTGAGTACCTATTGTGTGTCACACCTGTTCCAGGCACGGGGGATACAGTGTGGAAGAAGACCATCTAAATCTCTCTCCTTAGGGAGCTCATATTCATTGTGAGGATGTTGGACAATAAATGTATCAGGTGGTGAGCACTAATGAAGAAAAATACAGGGAGGTGAGGGACTAGAGAAGACAGAGTATTTTAAATCGGGTAACCAGGAAAGCCTCTTCGAGATGTGACCTATGAACTGACACCCAAAGGAAGTGAGAGAGTGAGCCATGAGGATGTCTGGGGATAGAGTATCCCAAGTGAAGGGACAGCAGTGCAAAGGCCCTGGGGTAGGAACCTACTTACTCTATTTGAGGACCACTTGTGACTGGAGCAGTGGGGGAAATGGGAAGAGTTGAAGTCAAAGAGAAACCGGCCCAGACAGGGGGACTTGGGGCCATTGTGAGGATTCTGATTCTTATTCTGAATGAAGTAGAACCAGGGGAAGGTTTTGACTGAGGAGGGCTATGGTCTGACTCAGTGTTAACAGGGTCCCTCTGAGGAATAGGCTGGGGGGCAGGGGGCAGGAGGTGGGTACAGAGACCAGGGAGGAGGCTTCGGAGTAGGGGGGACAGAGGCTGGACTCAAATGGAGAGAGGAGATGGGGCTTTGGATCTGGGTGGTGTCTCTGCTCCCCTCGGTGGTATCCTGAGCCTCCAGCTGGCATCTGCTGATCCACCTGTGCGCAGTACCTATCCTGCCGCCGAGCTTCAAATCCTGACTCCTCCCCTTACTAGCTGTGATCTTAACCCACCTGTGCAGTGGTTTCCTTGTCTGTCAGAGGCAGGAATGCGAGGGTGAAGTGAGGGAATCCTGGCGGGGTGCTCAGAACAATGCCTGGCATGCTCCTGTGCACCGACTATGTGTTCTTGCTAGTGGTGGGCACGTTGATGTTGGAGTATTTTCTTGGCAGTTTAATTGTGAGACACACACAGGCACGCATGCACCTCCTGAAGGCAGAAACTTAATTTTAAAGAGGACTTATTTTGAAGTAGCTCCCTCCCCCTCCCCGAGGGTCCCAGGGAGGCCGGCCACCTCAGCCACCAGCAGAGACCAGCAGCAGGGAAGTGCTCGTGACTAGGAGGAGCCGGGCCATCACCACTCCCTAGCTGGGCGGCCTCAGTCTGGGAGGGCGACCATCATGGTGCCTGCCTCACGGGGAGCTCGAGAGGATGGAATGAATCATGTCCGTAAGTGCTCAGCACAGACATAGTCAGCACCCAATAAAAGAGAGCCTCCCCTCTGTTAGCTGCCAGCCATGTGTGCCTGGCCTCGGCCTCTCCTCTGGAACATGTTAGTCTAGGGGGAAAATGGACATTAAATGAGTAAATATATAATTACACATTGTCATAGCACTGTGAAGAAAAAGATCAGTGTGCCAGGCCAGAGAATAGGAAAGGCGGCCCTTTGTGTGGGTGGTGTGGTCAAGACAGCCCACACCTGCAGGGTAAGGAGCCACCAGCACAGGGGGAAAGAGGGACACAGAGAATATTCCTAGCAGAGGGAGGTGCACATCAGACCCCGAGGCAGAAGTGAGCCGTGCCTCGTTTACCCTTGAAAACCGGCTAAGTTCTTTTCCAGGAGCCTCCCAAGATTGACACCCCCCCCCACACACACACACACACATAGGATTATCCCATATCACTTTGACACTTTCAGGACCCCCATCCAAGTAAACCCAGCAAGAAAATGTGCGTACAAATAAAATTGGTGAAAGCTTTTACTTCGGGAAAGAGAGATTGCCTAGAATATGCCCTTTCCAGAAGGGACGACTCCAGTTTGTATGAAATGAGCTCCAGCACAGAGTAGACCCTCAATAAATGTGTGATGTGAATGAATACTTCTTGTTTATTAAAATGCGGGAAAGGGACAATTACCATTTAACGTATTGATGCGTGGCTAGATGGGTAGATATGTGACAGATGGACGTGTGATAAAGCAAGGAGAGTAAAATGTTAATGGTAGACTGTAAGGGGTGGCTACGCAGGTATTCACTATAAAACTCATCTTTATTGTGCATTTGAAATATTTTCAAATTAAAATATCGTAGGGGAAGGGAAGGACCATAGGTCATAAAAATAATGGTATTCTACAAATCAGGAAAAATTCAGTGAACAGGAAGTCTCAGGAGTGTCACCTTTATTGTGCACATACAGCCCCCACCCCCACCCCTCCTAGTGGCATCTAGTTCTTATCGATGCATTGCTTCATATTTGTTTTCATATTCTGTTTATGCACCTTGTATACCCTGGGAAGCCTGTAAATTCCCCAAGGGCAATTTTTGGCCTCTTATTTTTGGTCCCACAATTGATGGAATTTTGGTGTTGGAAGCCGTGTTTGTAGTCTTCCCCTGCAGACAACCCCCCCCACACACACACACACACAAACACACACGTATATAGAAGGAAATTGTGGCCCCCAGAAGGGAAGGAAGCTGCCCACAGGTACATGGTCCTACTAGGAATGCACATCTCCTGGCACACAGGCCAGTGATGGCAAGCCTTCTAGAGACTTTCTAGGCAACTGTGAAAGGTCAGGTTCTGGCAGTGGACAGCCAGGGCCCTGGCCCTTCTGAGCCTCCGTTTTCCTCATCCATACAATGGGGATCACAAGAGGGCTTCTGCCTTTGGGTTATGAGAGGCTTAAATGGTTTCAGCTCTTCACACAGTACTGGAAGCTAGCTAGTGCTTAGTGAACAGTCGCTGCTATCATGCATCTGAAAACCAGGCCCTCTGTCCCCATTCCTGTCCGTCATAAAGGGGCCCACCCTCCTGTCACCAGGGTGCTTTCCCCCTGGGCCTTTGGTGCTCCTCCCCATGCAAGCACCTCCCACATGTATCTCTTCCTTTCCCCTCTGCACCATTCCCCACTGCTTGATGCCAAAAGGAAGACTGTATTTTCAGAATATGCTTTGTAGCTCAAAGTCCTTTCCCCTCCACTTCCTGACTATGTGACCTTGGTCATGTTTCTTAACCTGCAGGAGCCTCCATGAGCTTCTCTATAACAGAACCTCTTACCCAAGCGGGGGGGGGGGGGGGGGGTAGGATTCGGTGATGTCATGCGTGGAAAGCACCCAGCAGGGAGCCCAGCATTGCACAACAATTACAAGTTACCATTGTTATTCCTTTGGTGCCACACCCCCCCAAATGAGGATGCACCCCCTTGGGCTCCACCTAGGTTCCCGCCATTCTCTTCGCTGTTGCTTCTGCCCCTACTGCTGGCCTGAAGTGGCCTTCTCTGCACAGATGCTCCCCTTAGTGCCAAGCACGCATGGATTTTGCCCACTAGCGAAGCCTGGCTTGTCCCCGTGAGAGCCCTCTTACATCTGACCTGCCCGAAATCTCCAGCCCAGCCCTCCTGTGCATCAGCCCCCAGCTCCTTCCACAAAATAGCAAGGAAAGAGAAGCTTCCCCCCCCCCACCCCTCCTCGGGGAGCACAGTGGACCATGATGAGAGTATAATGTGTCATATTTATTCACAAACCCCAGTATAGCCTCCTCCCGGGACTCAGGAAATCTGCCCCCCGCCCCCAGCTCTTCCGGGTCATTTCAGCTAGTATGACAACAGGAATGTCAGTCTGCTGAGGGAGGCCAGTGCATCAGTTTAGGGAATGATGTTGGCGACGCTCTGGAAGAGAGGAGAGAGGAAATGAATGCAGGGAACACAGCCCTGAGGGAACCAAGACCTCTGCCCTCACGTCCCCTAGGGAAATGAGGGGGACATGGGCATTAGCTTCTCAGGCCCAGGGGTTGCTTATGTTCTGCAGAATGTCTTCAGCAAAGTGCCTCCTAGATTCAGGAAGAACAGGGAGCCAGCCCTCCCAGGGAGAGGTGCCAGGACCCTGTGGAGGAGCCAAGAAGCCTTGTCTGTTTTGCCTCAGAGGGTCCCCTGGCACCCCCATAGCCCAGGAATAAACAAGGCTGTGCCTTTGGGTTCCGGGCACCGTCCACAAGGGCTGTTCCACACCCTCCTCCTTTTGCCCCAGGCTCATGCAGTGATGCACTACATGCAAAGAGAAAACTGCAAAGCTTGGACTTTGCTCTGGGCCCAGGGTAGGGACCAGGGTCCCCCAGGAGGCTTTCTACTGGGGGGTCCCGTCAGCCAGGGAAAGCCCAGAGCTGCAGGTTCCCACCCCCCAGCATACTGCTGTAAGGCAGCAGAGGGCCTCACAGTGGGTTGAGGTAGGGAGGGAATCGGAGGGAAGCCGATGAGAAGCCGGAGCACATGGAGGGGATGGTTTCAGCAGCGTGCCTCCCTCGCTGGCCTCTGGGGGTCTGTTTTGCCAGCTTGCGTTTGCCTCAGCGGGAATGGAAAGCAGCCAGAAGAGGAAAGCAGGGTATGAGGGAAGCAGGTGAAGAAAGGAAAGGCCAGAGCTGGGAAACAGGTTGGATGGTGTCTGCAAGGCTGAGAGTCTGTCCACAGTGAAGTTGTCCATGGACAGGCAGTGGGAAGGGAGTGTGAGACTGTCTCCAGAGACAGAGAGCAGAAAGTTGAAACCTCCTGGGCACTCACCCTCCACAGAGCTGGAATGTTGATGAAGGGCTTGTTGACCGAGGCCTGGAATTCAAGGACAAGAGGGTTGGTCACCAGCATCCATCCCACCGCCATCGTAGGAGGGCCTTCCCTCCCCCCACTGAGTCCTTGCTGTGCCCTGGGAAACTTACTCCAGATGTTACTGTTGTGGTTGCGCCCCCTCCGTGCTGGCCGGTGGAAACGCCTGGATGAGTGCCCTGCGGACAAAGGCCAGACTGTCATTACAACCCCTCAGCCCTTGAGGATCTCCCAGGTTCCTCTTCCCCGGTGACCTACCGCCCTCTAGGGTGACTGGGGCCAGGGTGGGAGGCAGAAGCTAACCCCCTACCCCCTCATTATCCAGAAAGAAAACCCAAAGCCCATGTCGCTGTGGGAATTCTGTGAGATTGGAAGAAAAGCCTGGAAGGATGTCTGCCCCTACTGACTAGTCTTCCCCCAATTCCCTTTTATTTCAGTGAATGAAATGCCCTCAGTCAATGAGAAGGGCCTGAATGGAAACTGGAAAGGGAACCCAGAGGACCCACGCAAATCCTAGAACCATAGTTTAACCTCAGCCCCGACCTCAGCTCTACCCCTTCTATACCCTCTCTGGCCTGGTCCCTAACTTCGGTTGATCCCTGTCCTCATTTTCCCCTCAGATACTCAGCCGTGCCTTTGCTGCTGCTGGGCCAGCTTTGAATCCCATAACAAACCTCCCCTTCCTGACTCCTTCCCAGTGAAGCCTGCCGTCTGACTCAGAGCCCATTCCTCTACCGTGCACACTTTCTGTGGAGTCCCTTCCTCTTCACCCACCCATCCCTGGGTCCCCTGCCTGCGGCCTGTGTGGCTATCGGCTTCCAGGGCTGGGCCAGTCCTCCAGATGGTGTCCCAAAGACTCCTCATGGAGATTGGAGAGTGGGGAACTGAGGCAGGCAGGGGTCAGCCTTCTCCTATTGCCCAAGCCCATCGTTGGTGCCTGGCCCACTGTGAATGGCACCCCTTGCCTCCCCCTGGCCTCCAGTATTTGTTACCTCTACAGAAATGTTCCCTCTACAGAAATCCTCCTGGAGACCTCCTCCGATGAGGCAGTGTGGGGGGAAGAGAAAGAACCCTGACCTGTGATTGGCCAGACTTGCTCACTAGCCACCTGACCTTGGCAAATCCCCTTAAAACCTCACTTCTATCTCCTTATCTGAGAATCAGGGAGTCAGCATCCTCACCCTGACTACCTCAGAGGCTTGTTAGGAAAATTAAACAGAATAGGGCTTATCTCCCAAAGCCATTCCTCATGCTTACTCTGATGCTCTGGGTTTTCTCAACACTCACTCTGTTTGCACCGCACAAGATCTTGACTCAGTAATCATTTCCTGTTCCCCAGGAGAGGCTTCATGTTCCTCTCTTTACACCTCCTCAACTAGGAGGGCAGCTCCCTGAAGTGCAAAGGTTCTCACTGTCTGATCTAGGGCTTTGCGGACAAGATGGTTTGATCCATCTGACCAGCTGAGCACCAGCTCCTTTGTAAGGAGATGGAGAGGAAGAAAGGGAACGTGATCATAGAGCTCCCCAAGCCTCTTTCACTGAATGAAGGCTACATGGACTACCCAAATGTCCCAAGGGCTTAACCTCTCCCTCCCCCAGCCCCTTCTCCCCATTTACCCACCCCTGTTCACCTACATTCAGCAGCTGGTTGGCCTCCTTGCCGGCTTGGTTGACCCCATTATGAACATTCTGCTGCAACCTGTCCACCTCCTTCCCAGCCTGGCCAGCAGCATGGTGGACACCTTGGCCAAGTTTCTCCGCTTCCCTTCCAGGCTGGCCAGCAGCGTGGTTGACCCCTTGGCCAAATTTCTCTGCCTCCTTCCCGGCCTGGTTGACCCCATCGTGGACCCCTTGGACCACTTTGTCTGCCTCCTTTCCAGCCTGTTCAACGGCATGGTGAACTCCCTGGCCAAAGTGCTCCACCTCCTTCCCAGCCTGGTTGACCCCAGGATGGATCCCTTGGACTATTTTGTCTCCCTCTTCCCCAGCCTTCCCTGCAGCATAATGAACATCATGGCCAAACTTCTCCACCTCCTTCCCAGCCTGGTTAACCCCGTGATGGATCCCCTGGCCAAACTTCTCCGCCTCCTTCCCAGCCTGGTTAACCCCATGATGGACCCCATGGCCGAACTTCTCTGCCTCATTCCCAGCCTGCCCAGTAGCATGGTGGATCCCCTGACCAAACTTCTCCGCCTCCTTCCCAGCCTGGTTAGCCCCATGATGGACCCCCTGACCAAACTTCTCTGCTTCGTTCCCAACCTGCCCTGCAGCATCGTGGACCCCCTGGCCAAACCTCCCCGCCTCGTTCCCAGCCTGCCCGGCAGCATGGTGGACCTCATGGCCAAACCACCCTGTCTCACTTCCCACCTGGTTGACCCCATGATGAACCCCCTGAATCACTTTGTCTGCCTCCTTCCCAACCTGTCCAGCAGCGCTGTTGACCCCATGAGAAAATTTCTCTGCCTCCTTTCCTGCTTGTCCGATGCCACTGTTGATCCCATGGGCTACCTTGTCCAAGCCGTTGTTGAGCCCCTGGACGTCTTTGTCCAGTTCCTTGCCGGCCTGGCTCCCCATGTGGCTAAGTCCATTAAAAACTTTTTCCACTTCCCTTCCAGCATGAGTGATTCCATTGTTGATGCCTTCCAGGGCCTTGCCCACCTCTCTCTCTGCATTGCTCAGCCCTCGGTTGATTCCTTCAATGACCTTCTCAATGGGGTCATCATTGGCCGCCCATCCAGGAAGGGCCCCCAATAGCAATAGGAGGGAGCAGGAGCTAACCAAACTGGCAAGGTGCATGTTGTTGGAAGGGTGGGGAGGATGCAGAGAGGAGCCGGGGAAGCAAAGCTGCTATTTATACTCTACCTCCCTCTCTCTTCTCCACCCCTCATGACTCAGTTACCCCTGTGAGGCACTGACTTGGTCCCCAGTCAGGGACCTATTTCCCAGGGAACTTGAGTTGAGCAATGAAGAGGAGGAGGAAGAGGTGAGTCATGAATGGAGAACACTCACGTGGCATCTTTGCTCCTTGCCCAGCTCAGGCCCTCCACCCCAAAGCCCAGATGTCTGCCCTTCCAACCACCTCCTCTTTTCATTCCTCACCCACTATCTAGGCCTCCTCTCTCCCAACCTCACCTTCAATCACCCCCATCCCCAGGACCCAGGCCTAGTTCTTCACTCCTCTCAGGGGATCGAAGGATCCAGTTTCCCCAGCAGGAAGAGTCTAGGAAGATGGGAGGCTCAGTCAGGGGGGAGGAGAGCACCCTTGGGGAGTTGAGGGAGTCATCAGAGACTCACTGTTCTCGTTGCCACCCCCCTACGCTTACTACGTCCCAGCCCCACAGGTCTTCTCCCTGGTCCTCAGATATACCGGGCTCATTCCCGCCTCATGGCCTTTGCACATGCTGTCCTCTCTGCCTGGAAAGCAGAACTCACATCTTCACATGGTGGGTTCTTTCTTAGTCTGTTCTTGGTTCAAATGTCACCACAAAAAAAAAAAAAAAAAAAAAAAACCACCATCCTTGGCCATCTCTCAGTTATCCTGGGTGATACCATCCTTTTGTTTTTATAAGCACCACGATCCGAAATTATCTTTTATACTGTCTGCCTCATCTATCAGATTGTAAACTTCCAGAGGACAGGGCTTTTGTGTTGGTCACTGCTGTATCCCCAATTTTTAGAACATTACCTGGGGTTCAGTAAATATTTATAGATTGAACAAATGGATGGATTTAAAGAAGCACTCCAAAAAGGTATGTGATGTAAGCACACATAGTATGCTTGCTAAGGGAAGCCCCGGGAAGACAGGCCAAGCCTGGGTCTCAGAGGGTGCTGCAGAGAAGGGTGCCTGGGTCCCCAGAGCAGCCTGGGGCCCCTTGGGAAGGCTTATAGATTTTGGAGCCGGGACCTTGGCCTCCTGCTTCCCAGCCCTTGGGCAAGGGCAGAGGACCGATTGCCATGAGCTGGGACAGGACGCAGTGTCTCCTGAAAAGCCAGTTGGGGCAGCCACGGGGAGGGGCTGAAGACCTGGGGCAGTGGGAGACTGTCAGCCAGAACCTGGGCTGGAGGCCAGGGGCTCATCCTTCCTTCCTTCCTCCCCCTGGGGCCTCCTTGGTCCCAACCTAAAGCCCCAAGCATTGACATGGTGGCATAGGTTGGAGGGGAACGGCTGGGAGTCTACCCTGGGCATGAAGAGGGTCATCAGAAGGAAGGACAGGTGGTGGCTGGGAGGTCTTGTGGCAGCATAGCTATCTGGGGCTAGAAGCAGGCCGAGACCAGAAGAACAAGAGCCAGTGGGTGGGTAAGTTAGGTGCAGGGATGAAAGATATTTGGGTTTGGGTGCCAAAGGGAGAGACAGACAGGGGGTGGAGGTGGGATTGCAGGTGGGAAGGAATGTGTAGGGTGTGAGCCAGCAGGGGTGACAGAGGTATGTGTGTGGGTGCTCGGGTGTGGTGAGAATCTGCATGTGTTTTCAGGCTTTGCTCAAACAAGGGTGACCAGGCCCACTCCCGTCAGAAGACCCACACTTCCACTCCAGGTCCTGGACACCCAGGCCCAGAGATCCAGGAACTTCTGCCATTTCTAGGCACTGCCTATAGAGGGTGACTAATCACGCCACCTCTCCAAGCTTGAGCTCATTAAATCTGTTTCCCAGTTTCACGCTCCAGGGACAAAGCCAAATCCCTGGGCAACCTCAGGTGTGGCTCTCCTGCCCTTGTCCAGTGCCTAAATGAGGGAGTTTCCCATGCCAGGGGATTGCAGGGTGGGGAGGGGTGGGTGGTGACCTGCAGAATCCTAATCCATCCTGAGATGGAGAGGTGGGGTTTCTCCTTTTGAAATGTACTCCCATCTTCTCTTTCCACCCCTCTCTCGGCCCATCCTGCCGTCTTCTGTCATCCGGGCCCGGGTCCCTCTAGATCCAATTCCCATTTGCCACTAATTGATTCAGGACTTTGGCATCTGTCCCCATAAGAGATTGGCCTGGAGTTGTCCTTTCTTTGCCGCCCTCCGCTGGTTTGGGTAATGTGAGCCTGCTGCCTTTCCAGAGCGAGTGGAGGTTTCCGTGGCCCAGCATCAGGGCCCTCCCACAGAGCACTCCCAGGAAGTGTGCTGGCCAGCTCATGGGGCCTTGGAGCACATGCCCTGCCCAGAACCCCTCCGCGTGAGAACTGCCACCTGACTTCCCCACTCTGGATAGGACCCGCACCAGTTCCCGATGCTTTTTGGCAGATCCTGCCCATAAAGTCATCTGGATCTGAATCAGCCTTGGGGAGGATAGATCTTAACTCCGGTTCTTCTCTTGTTATTGGCCTACTCAGATTTGCCATTTCTGTTTGCACCGGGGGTGCTCCTTTATATTTTCTAAGAAAATTTTTAATTGCATCTAGCTTTTCACATCTATTATTGTAAAGTTGTACAAAATTGATCCCTTTTTAGTCCTGGTTTTATTTGTGTGCTTTTCCACGCCCCGCTTCTCCCCAACCCCCATCATATGTGTTAAGTTTCTCCCCCTTTGTTTAATTAATACCTGCATTTTGGTCTTGGGCCATTGAAATTCCCCATCTGTACACCGATTTATTTTCAGTTCCACCTCTCTGGACCATCCAAGCAGGAGAGCCTCACCCTCACCCTCACCCTGTCCCATTGTGGGTGCTTGGTGAACTGAGTTCCCGTGAAGACTTAGGGAAGGAAGAGGTTATGTCATTCTGCCCCTTCTTGCTTCCACACCTCTGTCCGGGATAATGACTCCTTCCTGGCCCAAACCCCCACACCCCCTAAATCTTGGTCACAGCTGTGTGTCAGCCAGCCCTGCAGGTGAAGGCGCCTGTGTATCACAGATGTGCAAATGAGCCCCCACCCCCAGTGCGTTAGAGGAAAGAGCCATCTGTCCTGTTCTTCCCCAGAAGCTGCTTTGTGCCAGGCAGTTCCAGGTGGCAGCAGAGGCCCCGTGCTGAACAACGGGACACAATGAGCATGTAAATCAGTAAGTAGATCATGACAAACTACATGAAAAGCCACAAGGAGAAGAACAGGGTGCAGTGAGAGGATCTGGCTTGGAGGTCAGTTAAATTTAAGATTGGGAGTCAGAAGACAGGGGAGGCGGCGATATTTATATACGCATTCTGGCGTCTGAGTGAGCACCTGCAGGCGCCAAACCTTCTAGTCACCGGGATACAAAAGTGAAGGTAGACAAGCACTCTGCCCTCTGAGAGCTTACAGTCTGGTGGGCAGAGACAACTGGCAAGAAAACGAATAAACAGGATGATTTTGAGAGAGAGACATATGCTGTGAGGAAAACAAAAACTGTAGAGAGGGTAGCCATAGAGTAACTTTGCACATAGGAGCATCTAACCCAGGAAGGGAAGTCAGAGGAGGCTTCTGGAAGATGAGCAGATTTGAGGGGGTGAAGGCCATGGCGACAGTGATGGAGGAAGGAGAGAACTTTACATGGGGAGTTAGGAGGGTCCCTCTTGAAAGGGTGGAACCGGAGGGAAACCAGGAGGCCCCCGAGCAAGGACAGGGCAGGGCTTTTCAGGCAAGAGAAAACAGCCAGGGTGGCTAACTAGCCAAGGAGCAGCCCAGAGCCAGGGAGAAGGAAGGGGAGGGGGAGAGAATAGGGCCTTGAGGACCAGAGTAAAAAGCTGGATTCTATGCTAGACGCCACGGGTGGCCTGGGGACGGTGGGGCTTGGCACGCGGACGTCACGCTCTTGGCCGCCGCCCCTGTGACATCACTGGGCACTGTGACGTCACAGCGAGAAGCTCCGGCCACACTAGCCCAGGCGCCCCGCGCCGCAGTAACATCGCGGCGGCCCCCGGGAGGCTAGGCCATGAGACCTTAGGCCATGTCGAAACGCGATATCGTCCTCACCAATGTCACCGTTGTCCAGCTGCTGCGACAGCCGTGCCCGGGTGAGGGAGGCGACGGGCCGACCCCGGGGAAGGGGAGACAGGGCGGTCGGGAGCCCCTGCAGCGCGCGTGCCCGCCTCGCCATGTGCACGAGGCAGGGGCAGGAGGTGGACTGAGGCGCCCCTTCCCTCCTCCCTCGCGCCCCACCCTCCCTACCCCTGCCCTGCCCGCCCAGTGGTTTCTGTGGCGATGGTGGCGGGCCAGGGAGCGGGTTTCCACCTGCCTTGCCGCCGCTAGCAAGCGTTGGAAGGACGGAAGCAGGGGCCGGCGCCGCGTCTACGAGGGCGCATTTCTAGGGATGGACGCTCCCGTCGCCCAGCGCCAAAGGGCCGCTCAGGAGTTGGTGGGCTTTGTCCTCTTGGGTGCTAGCAACCTGCCAGGGCCGCGCCAAGCACATTCCAGGCGTGCGCGCACCCCCCGGGGGGGCCAGTGTGTTTACTGTCCCCACTCACGGAGCGGCCACCAGAGGTAAGAGAGCGCAAGCCGCCTCCCTCGGGCTCTCAGCACCGGAAGAGCAGAGTTGGGCCTCAGAGTCCCCTGCTGGCTCCCACTGGGCAGCCCTGCCCCATGCAGCCCGAGGTGCGCACACACACCAGCCGGGTGAACCCAGGTCGGCCTGGAGGGCAGCCCGCATTCCCTCGCGGCTCCCGCACTGGCCGCCGGCCGGGGTGGGCGGGACGCCAGGGCCGGGGGCGGTGGGAGGGACCCCCAAGAAGCAGCGCCCCGCCCGGCTGCGAACCTCCTCCCTGCTCAGCACTTGCTCTGTGACCTCGGGCCTCGGTTTCCCCTCTGTATGGTGGGTTTCTAGCGCATGCCTTACAGCACTCAGTGAGCTGGTGCACCCAAGAGCTCCGCCCAGCACCTAGCCCATGGCGGCGCCCCGGAAATGGGAGCGGCATCCGAATGAGGAGAGCGCGCCTGCGCTCTTGTTTCACCTCCCAGGTGATGCTGCATCACTGAAGCCCTTCAGGCTCTTCCTTCCCAGTGCAGCAGCTTTCCTCCAGCCCAGGCACCCCACCCCGGACTGGCGGGGACGAGAGAGGAAGCCTGGGGGAAGGTGGGAGAGGAGAACCACCTGAGTTTTCTTTTGAAAGGTCGAGGAGTGGGCTCAGATTCCCACTCAACCCCCGTGGGCAAATCTCCCCCTTTCGTGATCGTGGAAGCAGAACCGCCCCACCCAGGAACGCAAACATCCTAGGGTCCCCAAAACCACAGGGTCATTGCCTCAAATAAAAATACCTTTAGGAACTGGTATTGCCGCAGGAAACCCACAGCCCAGGCTCAGGCCACGTGGTCTGCGGCAGCCCCTGGAGGCCAGGCGGACCCACAGACCAGCTGGCCCATGGTTCTAGCCCCACCACCTCCCAGTGCCTTTGACCCTGGCGCCAAGAGCAACCGCCTTCCTCCTCCAGCCCAACTCCAACCTCTCCTCTCTTCCTTTCCTCACAAATACTCTTGGTAGCAACTTCCTCCCTCTGTTGACAACAGCACCTACTGGGTGGTGTGATCTGAGTCCTCACAGTAGCCCCCAGGCAGAAGGTCAGACATGGCACCAGCAAACAGGCCAGAGAGGTCATTAACTTGCTCAGGACTACACAGCTGGCAGGCCTGATTCCCAGCTGGAAACGCTCTGCTGGCCAGCGCCCCCCCCCCCCCCCCCCCCCCCCCCCCCCCCCCGGCAACCCGCATCTAACTGCGGACTCCACGTCTCCCCCCCCTCTTTCAGGCCCTTATGGGCAGCCCGGCTCGCACACCTCCAAGCGCGTGGGGGTTTCAAATGCAGTCCGGGAGTGGGAGTGTGTAGGTTTGGAGAGGTAGAAGCTGGCGTGGGTTTCCTCTATTTCCTAACTACTCTGAGGATGAAAATCACCTGGAGTGCTTTTAGAACCAGGATTCCTGAGCCTCAGTGTAGACCCACTGAATCAGATTTCCCTGGGAAGAGGCCTACCCCGGGGTTCTTATCATAACAGCTTGGGGTCCGCTGGGTTAGAACAATTATCAGACGAGTTTGGGAAACCATCTTTGAAATACTCATGTAAGTGGACTGTTTCCTAGACTCTCTCATAAGCATTACCTCTATCACCTCACTTAATCATCACGGTGACTCTCAGAGAGAAGTACTATCATCTTCCTTTGACAGAGGAGGAAACTGAGGCACAGACAATATGACCCCAAGTGATTGTTAAAAAGACATGTGCACTGAGTTAGACTCTCCGGGGAAGGGGCCCTGGCATTGGTATTTTAAAGCAAGCCCACCCCTACTCATTGTGTGGATCAGGTAGGTTGGGGAAACAGCTAGATGGTTAGCCGCCAGGGGCCAGGAGCCAGGAGCCAGCAACAGGTTCTGAGTGGCCAAAATGGTTCATTCTCTCCCACCATGATGGCACAACTCATTGCCCCCACCCAACCCCCAACAGTGACCAGAAGACCACCCCCACCGGAGCCCAAGGTTGAGACAGAGCAGGAGCCCCAGGCTGAGCCAGAGCCCAAACCTGAGCCAGTCAAGGAGGAATCCCCACTTCCTCAACCTAAGAAGGCTGCTGTGGTTCAGAAGCTGACAGTGGGCATCAATGGGTGAGTTGGCCCTAGCGTGAGCCATTCCTGAAGTCTTAGGGCCCGGCCTTTCCTCTGGTGGCTGCCTGGGGCATCTCCCCATTTCTTACCATCAGCGCCTTCATTCTGCCCACCCTTAAGAAACACAGGGAAAAGGCAGGGCTCCACCCTCAGAGAGCTCACATTCCGGTGGGAAGACAGCAATCAAAGAAGGAACACAACAGTTCAGTGATGCATGTTGTGAACAGTGTGGAAGTCCAGTGATAATGGGGAGCACAGCGGTAGCCAGCTCTGAGCTCAGCGCACAAAGAGCGGGGAGGAAGTCAGTATGCGGAGCAAGCAAGGGAGGAAGGGGGAGGGAGGTGGGAAGCTGGCAGGGGCAGTAAGCAGTCTGGATCTGGTTTTACTGATTAAGAGCCATGGAGGTGTTCAGGCCAAGTGACATACTCTGACCTGAAGTTCTAAGAGGATCGATCCAGCTACAAGGTCAGGAATAGGAGGGAGCGATGGATGGGTAGAGGAAGCAGGAAAAGCGGTTAAGAGGCTGAAGAGGACATCTGGGCAAGAGAGGACAGTGCCCGCACTTTGCCTTCTTTCCCCAGACTGAGGAGTCCCCCCCAGCCACCTAGGGTGCACCTCCTCCCTTATCCCTTTCTCTCCCATCCCCTCCTCTGCCTGCCAGCGGCGAGGATTCTGAGCACAACCCCCACCACCCTTGTCTCTGGACAGATTTGGACGCATCGGTCGCCTGGTGCTCCGTGCCTGCATGGAGAAGGGTGTTAAGGTGGTGGCAGTGAACGATCCATTCATTGACCCGGAATATATGGTGAGCGGCCAGCAGAGGGGAGAACTGGGAAAGGCGGACCAGAGTGGGGAGGAGAGCTCCGTGGAAGGCTCCCAGATGCCATGTGAAACCTTCACCAAGATGGGGACTCCCTAGGGATGCTGGCTCCTCCACCCTTGGCCACCCAAGACTGGGAGCCCTCCTGTCGCCCACAGGTGTACATGTTTAAATATGACTCCACCCATGGCCGGTACAAGGGGACTGTGGAGTACAGGAACGGAAAACTGGTGGTGGACAACCAGGAGATCAGCGTCTTCCAGTGGTAAGCATGCCTGCAGCAGATTAACACTGGGGCTGTGCGGAGGACTAGAATGGGATTCCAACCTCTCACACTGGGGGGTGGAGGCCTGAGTCCAGAATCCCCCAAATTGTGTGCACGCTTGCCTCTGGGTACTGGGGCAGAGAGGGGTCCCAGAGAAGTCCCTGACCCCTAAAATGCTTAAAAAAGCATTAATCTAAAAAGGTGTCCCACTCTACTCAAAATACTTTTAACACACATTTACATGTTTTCTCACAGGCATGTCAACTCAATATGTTTAACACTCATCTTCTGATTCTCCTTCAACCCCCAAACCTAGTCACCTCCCTCCCCAGGAAATGGCACTGCCATCTAGCCAACCCTTTCCACCCTGTTCCTAAACAGCAGCCAGAGGCCTTTTAAAAACATCAACTGGCCTTGGTGACTCCCGTATTTAAACCCTCCAATGGCTTCCCATACCTCCATGAATAAAATCCCAGCTCCTGCTGCGGCCCCCAACACCATGCGCTGCCCCCTGCCTTTCCATGTCATCCCACCCACTCCGGCCATCCCACCCACTCCGGCCATCCCACCCACTCCAGTCATCCCACCGACTCCGGCCATCCCACCCACTCCAGTCATCCCACCCACTCTGGCCATCTCACCCACTCTGGCCATCCCACCCACTCCGGCCATCCCCGGCCATCCCACCCACTCCAGTCATCCCACCCACTCCGGCCATCCCCGGCCATCCCACCCACTCCAGTCATCCCACCCACTCCGGCCATTCCACCCACTCCAGCCATCCCACCCACTCCGGCCATCCCACCCGCTCCGGCCATCCCACCCGCTCCGGCCATCCCACGCGCTCCGGCCATCCCACGCGCTCCGGCCATCCCACGCGCTCCGGCCATCCCACCCACTCCGGCCATCCCACCCACTCCGGCCATTCCACCCACTCCAGCCATCCCACCCACTCCAGTCATCCCACCCACTCCGGCCATCCCACCCACTCCGGCCATTCCACCCACTCCAGCCATCCCACCCACTCCAGCCATCCCACCCACTCCAGCCATCCCATCCACTCCGGCCATCCCCGGCCATCCCACCCACTCCGGCCATCCCACCCACTCCGGCCATCCCACCCACTCCGGCCATCCCCGGCCATCCCACCCACTCCGGCCATCCCACCCACTCCAGCCATCCCCGGCCATCCCACCCACTCCGGCCATCCCCGGCCATCCCACCCACTCTGGCCGTCCCAGCCACTCCAGTCATCCCACCCACTCCGGCCATCCCACCCACTCCGGCCATCCCACCCACTCCGGCCATCCCACCCACTCCGGTCATCCCACCCACTCCGGCCATCTCACCCACTCCGGCCATCCCACCCACTCCAGCCATCCCACCCACTCCGGCCATCCCACCCACTCCGGCCATCCCACCCACTCCAGCCATCCCCAGCCATCCCCCCCACTCCGGCCATCCCCAGCCATCCCACCCACTCCGGCCATCCCCGGCCATCCCACCCACTCCGGCCATCCCACCCACTCCAGCCATCCCACCCACTCCAGCCATCCCCGGCCATCCCACCCACTCCGGCCATCCCCGGCCATCCCACCCACTCTGGCCGTCCCAGCCACTCCAGTCATCCCACCCACTCCGGCCATCCCACCCACTCCAGTCATCCCACCCACTCCGGCCATCCCACCCACTCTGGCCAGCCCCGGCCAGCCCCGGGCCGTACTTTACCTTCCTAACGTGAATTAGCAGCCACTGCTGGACCCTGGGCGGCACGCGCTTTCCCACGCACTCCCCCCGGGGAACTTGCCCTGGGGCGCAGCCTCTCCCAGCCCTGCGGCTTATACTTGCAGGCAGGAGGGCTTGTGATGAGGTGCTCAGCGCTGTGTGTGGGAGTGGGAGGGCGGGTGGAGGCGGGGACTGGAGACTCCACGCGGATGAGAAGCTGCTGGACCCAAGTTTGGAATCTTAACACCAAACACAATCCCAGCAGAGCTGCTCAGCCATCCCGTCCTTTCGGTACTTGGCCGGGCGTTCCTGCCACCCGGGGCATTCTCCCTGCCTTCTTGGTCCCCACACGGCTGCCCCCTCAACGGGCACCCCGCACCCAGGTGCTGCTTCTCTGGTGACTCCAGCAGCACTCCACCGTCCCTACACGGTGTTCTCCGGGCACTCAGTACAAGCCATGTTGCTTGCATGCTTTACCCCTACTCCGCCCTTTCCTAGCTGGGTGACCTTGGGCAAGAGATTGAACTTGTCCTGGCCTCAGTTGCGTAGAGCATCTGATGGGGATGATGCTCACAGCCCCCACAGCGGTAGCAGAGAGCAAGCCGGAGGTCCCAGGTGTGTGGGGACACTGGGAAGGGCATTCCCCGCAAAGCCACAGCCTCCTCGCCAGGGGGGCCCTCTCGCTTCGCGTCGCTATCACTGCTTTGGCACCGCAGACTCTGGGGAGACTCAATACTTCCTGGAAGAATGAATGAACGGAATCCTCAAAACAGCCCTCTGGGCAGAAGGGCAGCGCCCAGGACAGCCGAGAGAAGGGGCTGGGGTCTTCTAGGATGCCGGCTTTTCCCCTCCCCTCTGCCCTGGGGCTGGCTCCTCTGAGAAATGCCGGTAACAGTACTTACCCCGCAGCTCACCAGGATTCAAGGGGTCAATTCAGGTACAGCACTTAGAACATGGGCATGTGGCAGGTGTTCGGTAAACTTGGGTAGAACGGTTAACAAACAAAACCCACCAACACTGATTGAAACCCTATGGCGGGAGCAGGCTCAGTGGCATACAGTGGTCTAGAAGCCAAGACAGATGCTAACAAATCATCAGAGAACCACCACTGTTGTGATAAACCCTGTGATGGAAAAAAGTCATTTATTGCTTGTTGGCTAAAGCCAAGCAGTAAACAACATCTAGATGTTTGATGTTTCAAATACAAACATTTGCTATCGAGTAGAAATGTGAACTTCTCAAACAGGAAACAAAATCTCCTTTCCCTCTTTTTCTCTTTTAAGATTTATTTATTTATTTGAGGAGAGAAAGAGAACGGGGGGGAGGGAGAGAGAAATCCAAGCAGACTCCAGGCTGAGAGGGAGCCCAACACGGGGCTCGATCCTATGACCCCGAGATCATGACCTGAGTGGAAACCAAGAGTTGGCCACCCAGGCGGCCCTCCTTTCCCTTTCCAATGTAAACCACTATCCGTTGCTGGCCCGGGGGCTGCCTCAGGCTTCAGTCCTCCCCCCGGGAGCTGCTCCCGGGGATGCAGCGTGTCTTCGGGGAGCTGCCCAGGCTCCGGCAGCAGGCCCTTGGTGCAGGAGCCGCGTGGTAAGGAGGGGCAAGGACAGTGGGGAGGTTGCCAGGGCAGGGACCAGAAGCAGCGGGACAGGCCTCACTTTCCTGGGGTGCATTCTGAGCAGCACAGGTAGAATGGGCCCGACCTGGGCTGGGAGCAGTCAGGGATGGTCCCACTGGGGGGGCAGAGGCCTGAGTCAGGAAGGCACAACAGGGGCGGTCGAGTCAAGAAGAGAAAAGTGGCCTGCAAGGTGGAGTCAGTGATGAAAGGGGAGACCAGCAGGGTGGACTCCCAACAGCTAGGATGTTGGCCTGGCGGGGGGGGCGGGGGGGGGGAGACGGTTGCAGGCCAGGCAGGAAGGCGTCCAGTCAGCCTTTGGAACACTGAAGGCCATGACGGCAAAGGCCAGGCCGTGCAGGAAGAGACTGACTCGGGCGCTGCCACCCCTCCACAGCAAGCAGCCCCGAGATATTCCCTGGAAGTCTGTCGGGAACCCCTTTGTGGTGGAGTCCACAGGCGTGTACCTGTCCTTACAGGAGGCTTCAGTAAGTGGGGGACAGATGCCCAGGGCTGCGCGGGGAGAGGGGGTGTGGAGGTGGCACTCGAAGGGCCCCCTGACACCTGTGCTCCTCCTCTAGGACCACATCGAGGCTGGTGCCACGCGTGTGGTCATCTCTGCACCCTCACCCGATGCGCCCATATTTGTCATGGGAGTAAACGAGAAGAACTATGATCCTGGCTCCATGAAAGTTGTCAGGTAACGGGCAGCAACATTCTGAAGTGTGTGGGTGGCACCCAGAGGAAATGCCAGCCTCCCTCTCTTCACCCCCACTCCCAGGAGACCCCTGGTGCTGCTTCACACCTCCCTTCCCAAAGCCCTAACGCCCTCATGTTAACAGAACAGTAGGACTCCTGGAGAACACGCTTGGGGAGCTTCCCCAGCCATACCTCTGGGGCACCCCCAGTGATCCCACTCATCCCCAACCTGACTTCCACAAAACCAGGCCTGTGTGCATCACCCGAGAGGGAGGGGAGGGTGCCGGGCTGGCTCTGCGACTCACCTCACAGGGCCCTTGCACACCCGCGCCGTTTCAGCAATGCCTCCTGCACGACCAACTGCCTGGCACCCCTTGCCAAGGTCATCCATGAGCAGTTTGGGATCGTGGAAGGGCTGATGGTGAGTTGGAGAGAGCGGCTGAGGCAGGAGGGGTGGCAGGGAAACTCTACCTCTCCTTCCTAGACTTGCTTAGTGTGTGGGGTGAACAAGGAGAGACGGTTTCGGGAGGAAGAGCCAAGTGGTGAAGTCTCTTAAAACACCGGGCAACTTGCAAACAGGGCTGGACCCTGGCCTGCACATGGCCCTCCTGTGGTCTGTGGTGGTCCCACCAGCCTCCACACCTGGGTCACCACCTCAGGCCTGGGAAAACAAGGCAGGGGAGCTTTGGAGGAGGAAGGGCTCACCCCAGCCTTCTTCTTCCCCAAGACCACAGTTCATTCCTACACTGCCACCCAGAAGACAGTGGACGGGCCATCGAAGAAGGCCTGGCGAGACGGGCGGGGTGCCCACCAGAACATCATCCCAGCCTCCACAGGGGCTGCCAAAGCCGTTGGCAAAGTCATTCCAGACCTCAAAGGGTATGAGGGCAGAAAGCTGCCACCAGGGTCAGGGGTACACCCCAGGAGGACTGGACTGGCCCCCAATCCCTGAAGTGTCTATTGAGGGGAAAGTAGAGACAACGTAGGATGGATGGAAAGGTCCTGGGTTCTGACTCCCACCCCTAATTGGGATTCTCCAGGAAGCTGACAGGAATGGCGTTCCGGGTGCCAACCCCAGATGTATCTGTTGTGGACCTGACCTGCCGCCTGGCCCAGCCTACCTCGTACGAGGCCATCAAAGACGCCATAAAAGCAGCAGCCCAAGGGCCCATGGCTGGCATCCTTGCCTACACAGAGGATGAGGTAGGGACTGAGGAGGGGGACCATGGGAGGAGCCCTCTGGGGAGGAAACATGATTTTCCACTTACCAAAGAGCCGCTCACCATGTATCAAGACAGGGACTGCAGGGCTGGGAAGGTCTGCTCTTCCTGCCTCAGGGTCTTTGCACTTGCTGTTGCTCTGGTCTGGGTAGCTTTTCTTCCAGGTGGCCACATAATCTGCCCTCACCTCCTCCAAGTCTCTACTTCAGTTTCTGTCCTCAGAAAGATATTCTCTTCCTGGCCCTTTCCCTTACCTGAAATTTCATTCCATAGTCCCTGTTGGCCCTGCTATAGCATGTACACCACAAGAAAGCAGGGGCTTCGGGACTCGGTGGCTCCAGCCATTGATTGTCCCGGGGCCTGGCACCCCAGCAGGTGCTCAATACAAGCTTAGTGAACAAGACAGTGGCTCCCCCACCATGCCTTTGCTCCCAGTCGTGCCATCCTCTGGTGCTGTCTCTGCTTTAGCTCCTGCAGCTCCGCTCTCACACAGCCACCAGGACCTCTTGTTTTACGGAAAGCAGATCACATTGTCCCACTCCTGAAAACCCTCCCCTGTGGCCTCATACACCACCAAGGCCAATCCCTCAGGGCCTCTATGCTGTAGCTCCTTCCACGTCAGGCACTGCGGAGGGCCCGAGGTGACCAGATCCTCCTAGACATCCAGACCCAGCCTCACCGTGTGCCCTCCAAGAGGGCCTCTATGCGGCCCACCATCACGATGAAGGCCGGCGTCATTGCCAGCATGTACTGGTGCAGCGTCAGCGTGTCTGCGGTCTCCGTCCTTTGGCCGCAGGCGAAGCCCCCGCGTGCCTTCCTCACACGGTCCCCAGAACCTGGACACAAGCAGGGCTCCACCAGATACCGTAGATGAAGGGATGTGCCCATGTGCCTAAGAGTCGGGGCCTGGGCTCCTGGAGGACCTTGCTCCGCGACCCACGCTTATCTTTGAAATTCCGATGCCCAGGTCGTGTCCACGGACTTTGTGGGCGATACCCACTCGTCCATCTTCGATGCTAAAGCCGGCATCGCGCTCAACGACAACTTCGTGAAGCTCATTTCCTGGTGAGGGGGCAGGGGCCCGGGGGCGTGGGGGGCGGGCCAGGAGCGGTCGGGAGGGACTCCCCTGACCCGCCGCCTCCCTCCCCAGGTACGACAACGAATACGGCTACAGTCACCGGGTGGTGGACCTCCTCCGTTACATGTTCAGCCGCGACCAGTGAAGCAGGACGGCCCCTCCTCCGCTTCCGCGGGCTCCCGGCTGGAACCCGTACCTCCCGTTCCCGCTGTCGCCTCCCCCGGGGAAGGAGGGCGCCCTGCTGGGAAATAAAAAAGCAGAATGCTCACAGCCGCGCCCGTGTGTCTGCGCCGGTCACTACGGGGTCACGGCGCGCCCCGCACGGAGACGCGCTCCACCTGCGCCCACCGGCCACCGCGCCCCGCCTCCGAGCCTGGCTCCGCGCCGGCGCACTGGGGCCGCGCAGGCTCCGAGGGCCGGCCGCGGGCCGTGACGTCAGTGCGCCGGCGCCGGCGCCGGCCGGCCTCCCGCTCCCAGCAGGCCGCGCGGGTCGCGGCGGAGGCAGGTGGGCGCCAGGCCCCGGGCTCCGGCGCCAGGCGGGCGGAGGGTGAGACCCGCGCTCCGGCGGGTCCCGGGCGGCCGGCGCCATGACCCTGTTCCACTTCGGAAACTGCTTCGCCCTGGCCTACTTCCCCTACTTCATCACCTACAAGTGCAGCGGCCTGTGAGTGCGGGGCGCCTGCGGGCGGGAGGGCGCGGGCCCGGGCTAAGCCTCACCGCCCGCTCCTGCAGGTCTGAGTACAACGCCTTCTGGAAGTGCGTGCAGGCCGGGGTCACCTACCTCTTCGTGCAGCTGTGCAAGGTGAGGGCGCCCGGGCCCCCCCGGGAATACCCTGGAAGACGTGCTCCGGAAGGGGCGGAACTTGGGGAGAGGTCTCCAAGCAACTTTTGTGTAGCACTTTAGTAAAATTGGGAAAACTCAGTTGTGTGGTGGAGCGTTTTGTACTTTGAGGCGGCGCGAAGTAAGCCAGGGTCCACACTGTGCTGCTAACCCTGCTGGGGTAGCTCGCTCCGGCACTTCCATGCCTGACCCGATCGCCTGGGTCACAGAACCCAGACTTCAGACCCCAACCGTCTCTCTCCCCTGATCCTGTAATCTCGTCCCCCTTCTGGTGGTCCCTCTCCGCAAGGGTTCCCCTGAACCCCAGAGCCTTACCCTCCACATCCACACTGACTTCCTACATAATCCACTTGGTTTATTCTCCTCTCCTTGCAGTGATCTCTGTTTTCTGTTCTCAGATGCTGTTCCTGGCCACTTTTTTTCCCACCTGGGAAGGCGGCATCTATGACTTCATTGGGGTGAGTGGGGCAAGGAAGGGGGAGGGAGTGCAGGAAAGGGGCCCCCTGGCACCTGTGCTCACTCAAGCCTCAACCTGACCCACAGGAGTTCATGAAGGCCAGCGTGGATGTGGCAGACCTGATAGGCCTAAACCTTGTCATGTCCCGGAATGCAGGCAAGGGGGAGTACAAGATCATGGTTGCTGCCCTGGGCTGGGCCACCGCCGAGCTCATTATGTCCCGGTGTGTGCAGCAGCCTGGAGCCCAGATTCCTGAGAAAGGACGCCTGGGTTCTAGGGAGGTGCTGGAGGGCGGGGGCTCAGATTCTGAGTGCTGAGGGTGTTTGGGTGCTGGAGAATCCCTCCCTTTGCCTTCCTTAGCTGCATCCCCCTGTGGGTTGGAGCCCGGGGCATTGAGTTTGACTGGAAGTACATCCAGATGAGCATTGACTCCAACATCAGTCTGGTACGCAGTCCTGCTCTCCCACACACCTTTGTCCAGCGGCTGTGCCCTCCCCCCGAGGCCTGGCCCTGACTTCCTGCCTCCCTGCAGGTCCATTACATCGTCGCATCTGCCCAAGTCTGGATGATAACACGCTACGACCTGTACCACACTTTTCGGCCAGCAGTACTCCTGCTGATGTTCCTCAGCGTCTACAAGGCCTTTGTCATGGAGTGAGCTGCGCGGGGTTTGAGGGTGGGTCCAGATGGGGGTGGCTTATCTGTTCTCCTTCTCTCATGGTGATGTTTCCCCACAGGACCTTCGTCCACCTCTGTTCCCTGGGCAGCTGGACAGCACTGCTGGCCCGGGCAGTGGTGACAGGGCTGCTGGCCCTCAGCACCCTGGCCCTCTATGTCGCCGTTGTCAACGTGCACTCCTAGGCTTGGTGCCCCAGACATTCACATACCCTTTCCCCGCCTCCAGGTTTCAGTGAAGTAAACAGTGCTTGGAACATTGTTTCTGCCTCCATCTCTCGCTCTCTCTGGAACTGTCTACCAATACCACGTTCACCGGGTTCTAGAGGCCCTTGTTCTGGCTTTGAAGCCAGGTAGACAGGCTGGGAAACTGGCCAACACAGAACTGGTTTGTTCTGTGTTCTACAGCAGTTCCTGGGCTCCTCATCTTCCCAGGATAGAAGGGCTTGGAGTAGATAGATCATCTTTTCTTTCTTTCTTTTTTTTTTTTTTTTAAGATTTTATTTATTTATTTGACAGAGAGAGACACAGCAAGAGAGGGAACGTAAGCAGGGGGAGTGGGAGAGGGAGAAGCAGGCTCCCCGCAGAGCAGGGAGCCCGATGTGGGACTCGATCCCAGGACCCCGGGACCATGACCTGAGCTGAAGGCAGACGCTTAACGACTGAGCCACCTAGATAGATCATCATTGAGCAGTTGCAGAGACCAGGGCCCTCGGGTAACAGGTGATAGAAGGAAGCTAGAATCCAGGAATATAGTTCTTGGGAGGCTTTTCCTCTCAGCCTTAACATGGCCCTTCTCTGGCTGCTTACCTCCTAGGCTCTCAGCCCAATCTCCCCTTCTGATCCACCCTTCATATGGCAGCCAGGGGGATCTGTCTGAAATCCCAGTTTTATTAGTGCACCCTCCTTGTCTACAACCGTCTCAGACTCCCCATTGCATATTGAACGGTCCAACCACCTGAACTCTGGGTTTTGCTCTTGAGGGTAGACTTACTATTCTGAGCTCTTCAGTGCTTTGGTTTGGTTCTGTAGTCCTCACATCAAATCCTGGCTAGAGTCTTCTCAGGGTGGGGTCCAGACAGTGCTGCAGCCGACTGGCACAGTAGCTGAGCCCACCAATTTGGATATTGTCCTGGATGCTGCCCTCCCTACCTCTTGTTTCACAAACTCCTTGGGAGCTTCTCAGGTGCAATCAGAAACCAGCCCCCTTATGCAGAGAGCAGAAGGGGAAAGGTGGCCACTCCACGTTGGTAGGTGGCAGGTTTAAGAAGCAAGGGAACTTTTCAAGGCTTTTCATTGGGTTGTAAGACACCTAGATCTCTGCACCCACCTGCCAAATCTTAAAAGTTTAGATCAGGGCCTTAACTGGGTTTAGTCACATATACCATCTAGTAGACCCACATCACTCTCTCAAGGCGAGGTGGGGGGGGGGGTGGATGCACATTCCAAGGACTGAAGGTCAACAGATCAACCTGTCAAGTTCACGGGCTCTCTATCTCCAACACCACCCTAGCCCTTCCCTGTCCTAGTGGAGCCAGCTGCTTGCCCCATTCCCTGCCCTGTCTGAGGGGCACGTGTCAGAAGCGGGGCTTTGAATATCACGTTTATGCTCCACCTTGATGCAAACCCTGCCCACCCAGGAAGGTGCTTCCCAGCCCCAGTGGATCCCCCAAGGCGAGGGATAGGGCAAGTGCCCCCTCCCTCCTTCCCTCCAGGCTGTCAGGTCCTGCCATACTGTTGCTTAACCCTGGACTGGGAAAGCAGGAGCACAAACGGCTGTGAGTCTTGGTGTGTGTGCCGAGGGAGTGTTTGCCCTCAGGTGGGGCAGCCACCACCTAGCCCTGCCCCCTTTTCATTGTCCCTTGAGGAGACTGGGTCCACAGGTGTCTTGGGGGAGAGGTGGAGAGGCAAACAATTGGTTGGGCATGGAGTATGGAGTATATGGGCACTCCCCCAGCCCAGCGGGGTGGCCTGTGACAGGATCGTGCTCCCACACCTCCGTCCCATGCCCGCCTAGTCTCGGACCAGTATGGGGACAAGTGAGGGTTGCAAAAGTGATTTCAACAACTATTTGCTGAGCAGGGACTCTGAGCTGGAGCCCCTGCTGGTGACCAACTATGTGGAATAATCCCAGCTTATGTGGGGCTCAGGGAGACCAGAGCAGTTAGGGTTGAAGTGGAGGGAGCACAGACCAGGTCAGGGACGGGCTGGGGGCCCAACCTGGAGGGCCTGGAAGACAGGAGATGTGAGCTGTTGGGGCAGGAGGAAAAGCCGGTGGCAGAGCCTATGCGGTGAGAGAGCAGGCCTGACTTTTCCAGTGAAACAAGAATTGGCTGGAATAAGATCGAGGTGGCTTGTGAAACTGGCAGTCAGCAGGGGCAGGACAAACCATGGAGGATCCTGGGCCAGGGAAAGACAGGGAGTTTAGGGCTCACCACGTTTCCCAGGGAGAAGGAACCACACTGATGGGACAGTGGAAGGAGCAGGTTTGGAGGATGATGCAGAGGCTACTGGGGGTCCCTGGGTCATACAGGGTGGAGAGCCACTGCAGAGACAGAACTGAGGCCATGGGGGCAGCAGAGGGGGGCTGTGGTGGGAGGGGTCCCGCCAGAGAGGCTCATACTAAGGAAGAGAGGTGAGGAAGGGGCTGGGGAGGGGTGGGAGGTGGGGGGAGTGTCAGGCAGTTTCCAGCAGTTGGGGAGTTAACTTTTCAGGGGAGAGAGGTGTGAGGAGGGGACCGGGACTTCAGCCTCTAGACTCAGTCCCACTGCAACAGAGGAGCAAATTGGTGGGACCAGAGTGGAGACACCTGCGAAGGGGGAGGCAGGGTGGGGGGCAGCTTGAGGTAGGAAAGATTCTGACACCATGTGTCAAGGAGCCTGCCAAGGAGAGATCAAGAACGTGCTGGGGAGGGAGCCCAGAGGTGGTGTCTAGGCGAGTGGGGCGGTGAAGGCCCCGCTCCTGGGGGTGACTGGGAATGCCGTCACCCCAGGCTCATTCCCCCAGGAAGGTTTCGTTGCGTACCTACGATGCACGAGGCTGTGTTTGAGGAACTGAGATACAGCCCTGAACAAGCTGTAGGACTGTGGGAGATCAAAGGGGATCAGGAAAGACACTTAGGACAGGACCTGGCACCAAATAAAAGCATCGTCGGTGTGAGCTAGTTTATTTC